GTTGAATAAATCCTGCAGGCAAGACATGATTATTACGACTCTAAAAGAAAAAAAGGAAAAGAAACCTCCATCGAATTCAATGAGACATTTCGTGATTGGGAATTGAAGAGACGATAAAACAATGAAAAACCTGTCAAACGTAAGAACTTCCCGAACAAATTATCAACGCATTAATCTGTTTCATGACAATTCTATCGAAAATAACATTGTATTAAATATGTCAGTCAACTCAATGTCAATAAGAAATTGCAAACAATTTCTTAAGGTGTGATGTGAAGTCATGCAAGAAAATGTTTCGTTTTAAAAGAAATTGAATTCAAAGTGAAATTTAATTCATTCATTCTATTTATTTAAGTGAGAAAAGATGTTTCCTTTATGCTCAGAAGATAATAAATAAGTTAAGTTTCTCAAATTCAAGTTAAAACATAAATTCGCCCATAATTGATGACACGTTTCGGAAGGGAAACTATGGAGATGTGTATGTTAAACATAAATTAGAATAATCATCATGTCATGGTAGTTTATCAACTTGATGTTCCCTTTCTCTCTCTCACTCTTCCTTGTATCATTTCAACATTCAAACCAACCCTTTCGGGTGAAGACACAAAGTCAATTGTATAATACAAACTTCGCCCCCTATTTGCAACTGCTGGCATTTCAAATTGACTTTTTCATCTGCATCTTAAATAAGTAGATGATGCTTTTAAATTTCGAAAAGATATTTTATTAAAATATTTAAAATTGTTCAATCAACTTGGTGCACAAAAACCTGCTGCAATGTTTGACATTAAAACTATACTTGAGTGACTTTGATTCAAATACAATTTTCTATTCATTAAAGTTTTTGTTCAAACAGAGTCGATGTAGAAAAGGGTAAAGTCACAGTCAAGAATTGAATGTTGTTCCACTACATTAATCACTTTTACAGCACCCCGTTTAGCATGCTGATTATATCTTTTCAATTGCAACTTGCAAGAGAAATTCAAAAAGAAATTTTATTTTCTGTTCAGTAAATTGAAGGAAAGAAAAAAAAACTTTTAATGTTCATTTAAAACATCTCGTTGAGAGTGTCAACGATTCATGGATCCTTATAAAGGAAATTAAATTTCATGGGAATTTCAAAGAAGCATAAAAATTGATTATTTTATCACATTAATCTTTCAGTGTTTCGAAAAGAAATTTAATTTTCCAAAATTTAAGAAACATTCTCGCTTCATCCTTTCTAAACATATGCTTCACATCATATAACACAAAATAAGAGAAAAGATCACACAACACTAAAACGTCGACCCGGAAAAGGATTTTTTTTGTCTTAATGTGTGTAGCGAATCCATTAAACATCTTAAAATCTTGATCTTTAATATTTCTTATTTACGTTTCATGAGTGTTTCAAATTCGAGTGGTTAGAAATATTAAAAAGACCACCAAATTCCTCAACTTAACAAAAGATGAAGACAGCGGAAGAATTTATTCGGTTTGAAGCGTCGAGTGTTAAAATTCCTGAGCATCGTCCCATAAATCATATCCCGCGTCGCATGCCTATGGTTTTGAGAATCATCTAATTAATAAATTTTTAACAAACTTCATTGCCTTCGAGTCAAATCACAACAAGTTTAATGCCTTAACACTCCCAACATATGAAAATTAATTTCATATCCGCTTTTCATTGTTTCTTCCAATTCAAATTTGACTAAATCATCGTAAGGAGAAATTGAAATTTATAAATTTGTCATACAGATCACTTTTCTAGGCCCATAAAGCCTCAACACGTGTCGTCATACTATCACGTGCATTTACATTTTGGCGTGATCGTAACAGTCAGAGCAAGGAATCTCTCAATTGTATCAATTCTACAATTACAAATTAGAGAGGATGATCGAGTCACGTGTCTGTGATTATATCTTTTCTCGTCACAAAGACTGGTGCAATACATTACATATATTTATAGCGAGGTAGCGCATCAAATTCGATGTTTAAAAGCCTCTTTATTCACTGAAAGGCGGATCAATGTTTTATAAAAATTAAATACTTTTCAATTGGTAGTAAGATTCACAATGTCAATTATTTCCAGTAAAACTTTCTGAAGCATATTCACCAATCTTTGTGAAAATATTAGGAATTAAATTAAATTGCTCTTTGCTAACTTTATTCATCATAGTTAAGTAAATATCCTAAAGTTTCATATCCAGTTTCACAAAACTTTAATTAAGTTTTCGTTGATCTGGTATTAAATAAATTATCCATTGTCGCCTTGAGATCTTTTCAGTAAGTGGATGGAAAAGTGACAGGAATCTTGTTACATTAAAAAAGAAGAAGAATTTAAGTATCAACTCACTGTTCATTTGTACATGCATGACATAACATAAATAAAATAATTTTGTTTTAAAAGAAACATTTCATTCAACCCTCCGCAATCATCGTACGATTGACTTTCAACATAAAGCCACAGCGAGAGATTTTATTGCTTTTCGATATAATCTCATTATTAGCAGCATTTGTAACGACGCATGTAATGTGTAATTTAATGGTTATTTGCAAGTGCACATATCATGTGTGGAAAAATCTCCTTGATTTTGCGTGAAAAACTTTCTAATGTCTACATTTTTCCACAACATCACATACTCACTTTCATATCTGATATTGTGAAGTGTGGGAAATAAATTACTTACAAAAGAAATTTCTGAATGCAAATTAAATTAAATCTCAAGGGATTTGCAACCAAAACTTGACTTCCAATTCAATTTAACTTTTCATAAGTAATCTGAAGGTAACGAAATATGGCAGCTAACAAATTTTTACACAGAATAATAATGTTGAATGATGACCAGCCACAACTTCTATCGTAACTTTTTGAAAAATTGTTACACTTAGAAGCTTTTAGAATAATCAATTCTCTGATTTCTTTCAACGTAAAATAACAATGGCTGGTGAGTCATGTGTAATCGGTTCTTTTTAAATATTTAAAAGAACATAAATAATCTCGATTGAAGTTAAAAACTTATGTTATACCATGGACGGTCTTACCTACTAATCGATCAAACTTAATTGATTGTGATCATGATGTGTTCCTATATTGATATTTTTAAAATCAAATTTTTGTGATTCTTTAGAAATCAAATTTAAAAGATGTATGATAAAATTGTGAAGTGTCAATAAAGCCATAAATATTTAGTTTTAGGTGAACGAAGACATTCGTAATTCTTTTGTCGCAAACTGGTTTGTCTTATGTTGAAATATGTCTTGATATTGATAATGTAAAAGGTTCAGAAGTGGACTCCAATAGCGATAATCGTTATTGAGAAATCAGTAATAAATTATAAAACGATTTTCTGCTCTTCACTGTGTTGTATTTCCTAGACATGCAGGTTTTCAAATGATGCTTGGAGAAATTTTCAAATGTGAAGAAATAAAAATAAGAGAAAAGAAGAACGAAATCCTTATGATGTGTTAAAAAGGTTTCTAGCATATGAAACTTAACACGATATTAACTTGAGTTGACTTAATTAGGCTGCAAAGCATTTTGCATTAAAAAATCTCTCTCATGACATTCTTAATAAATATTCGTAGAAGTTTTTCTTGGGAGTAACATTTGGTAAAAAGGCGATAAATCAAGTCCTGAGAGGAGACCACACAGATTGTCGTTGTTTGTTTTGGATGGAAACTTCAAATCATACGCATTTCTAAATATCTTTTCCTTTACTAAATTGCTATGTCATGTGTTGCTGTTTTTCTCTTTCAATTTAATACATTTTTTATATTTTTAATTTCAATTGTTATTTTATTCAGTTGTTGCCGCTTATTCTGTTGACAATTCACTTGTCAGTTGGAAGTTGTCACTGATTTTCACATAAAAAAAATTAAAAGATTAATTATTGCTAGTCGACACAATCTCATCTTGTTTTGTTGTTACTGTTATTAACAAAGGACAAAAGGGCGAATCAAATTTGTTGCTTTTCTTCTTAGGTAGATTATTATTTGCTTGACTTATTATTAATTTCGGCTTCATGTGACAAAAATAGTTTTGGAACATCAAACAATCAAATACAAATTTAAAAATAGTTGAAGTTTAAGCAAAAACTAGAACCGGAAAAATATAATTAGGTAATTGGATAAGGCGGCTCATCAATAGAAGTAATTAAAATTAAAAGTCTCACGTCGTCTGACAAACATATTAATCACAACACTTTTTCTACTTTGTTGTCATCTTTTGCACTTCAAAAAACCGTGGAAAATCTTCATTTATCATTCGTTGGTGCAAATTTTAATAGCATTAACGTTTGTTGCCTGTGCATAAGTTTTAATTAGTTGACAAATGAATAATATTTGTTGTGAAGTGTTGGTCACACACTTCATTAATCGCGTTATGAATTTTAATAAATTCAAAATATTTTACAATCTTTGATGTGATCAAAGTGAGAAAATGCAAAAAATATTTTTTAGCTTCATTCGTGAAAGTAAATTTTTGATATTGAAATGCAGATGATCAGTCAATAATCTAACAATTAAAAAAAAACTTTGTTTAATAATAAATGAAAAAGAAATCACGGAGAGTGAAGTAACATTTGAAATCATAGTCTTTTCATGTTATCTTTATGAACATCGCTACTAAATAAGCTTCACGACGAGTTATCGCTACTTTGTATGTTTCATTAGTCATCACGAAATTTCAACCTGATGTTGCCGCATTTTATTTCAGTGAAAAGCTAAAAGCGTCACGATATGATGTTTAAGTTGAAACGCAACTTAACTCACAGACGAAATAAAACCTAGAGCTACAATTCGCGTGTGATTGTTAATAAGCAGATAATTGCGTTCAATGAAAACTGTTTTAACTGCTAGTGTTGCAGTCAGGTGTACCGTGTTCGTTACGTTAGAATATAAAAAAAATCTCGTCGCATGCTCAAATATAACATGATGATTATCATTATTTTTTGTTTTCTTCCAAACTAATTATACGCTAAGTTTTTTTGTCCAAATACATGAAAACACAATAAATAGAAATGCTTCGCTTAGTTTTATATTATTTTTCAGTTTTCTACACGTTGAAAGAGATTAAAAGAATTGCTCAAAATTCAAAGCGTCAAGTAGGTATCAAGAAAAATGTGGTAGCCTTTCACTCAGCAGATACACGAGAAATGAAAGACACGACATTACCATGGGAGGCTGTAAAATATTTCTTTCACAGTTATATCCACAGCAGTTAGTAAGTATGCAACGAAATGGATGTGAAGAGATTAAAATCTCGCAACATTTAAATGAAGATTGAGTGGATATTCGAATTTCCGATTTTGATTGAACGTTTTGTATTCTGTGAATAAATTCCAACGCATGTCAGTCAAAACTCTTTTATATTTTTTCTTCAAATCAAAAATTAAAGTCGATGATTTTAAAATCATAATGTGTGGTCAAAAGCTTTTATTAAAATTCGCTTTACTTCACGCTTTTGCGTGATCACCGACATCATCAACATCAGTTGCAGTTAATCAGCGAGATGAAAAACTTCATGTGCCATTCTCAAGTAGTTCTCACCTTCTTTTTTTATTAAACAATGCAAGGATCCGGTATACAATTTAATTTTAACAATCAATTTTTCCCCTACACAATTTAACATTGTTTCACATGATGTCTAAAGCCATTTAAAGAGAAATATAATTGCTATTGAATTTTAACTGAACGAACACCTACATTGATTTGATGTTATTCGCCCTAAAAATATTAACAGCTTATTTGCCAAGTTAAAGCTCTCGACTCTAAATTGAAATCAATTATAAACGTGAATGATTTACGTGTCAATTTAAGAATTATATTTTAAAGCTTGTTTTTTACAACAACGTTTTAGACGTGCAATGGTTTTTGCGTTAAACCACGTGAATAAATAAGTACATATTGGAAAATAATTTTCACTCATAAATTGTACAATACATGGAATGAGATCGTAAAGTTTATTTTTTTATTTTGTTTTAATGTACAGAGTTGTGATCTACAAAACTACAAGGCAATTAATTCGAATTTTTTGCTTGCCATAATGCGATCTCGAACATCGAATGTACATTCGAGGATGAATTATAGAAACACGTTTCGCGAATCATTCTTTAAGTTATCATAAAACGGATTATCAAAAATACGAATTGATTAAGAATTAATATTTTCCGTATAAATATGAATAATACGATAATTAATAGGGTGATGTATTAACATAATTGATATCTGCTTAATACGAAAAATATCCAAATAATATTTGAAATCTCGACATAAAATAAACAAGAGACTCACACAATTGCGTTCGCTTAAGAAGCTAACACGAAATAAATCAATCATCAGAAGATAACTTTTTTTCTCATTCTTTAAATGGAACACCGAAATAAAAACTTCTTCTTCGTGGAATTCAGAGTCAAAGTGGGTGGCACTATTTATTGGGTAGCCGAAGACCTGAAACTTTAGTTGAGTTTTAACACCTCATATGTATTTCATAAAAAAATTACTGGCAACTATGAAATAAAAATCTCTCGTCGAAAACACTTTTTCGTCATGCGACGAAGTTTTTCTTTAACGACATAATTTATCGGTGTTTGTCGAGTCACCGAAAATTGTTTATCAAGCCGAGAATGAATATGTTGGGTGGAGCTTGTTTGTTCATGTTCTCACTACTCATGGAAGAGAGTTAAAATATCTCACAATACTCTCAAACGTGGCGTTTTGTAGACTTTTTTGTGAAGTGGAAAGAGAAAGAGAAAGGGAGAGAGACAATCGTAAGTGAGAATCCATGAAAAGCATAAATTACATTACCAAAAATTATGCTTTAATCTAAGTTATAAATAGATTGTGTCGTATTGAAAATCTTCTTTGTTCTTGTTCTCATTTTAAGATTTTCATTAAAGTAAATTAAAAATGTTTCCAACTTAATGATTCCTTCGTTATTTATGATGCTGCCAGTTTATTTCTTTTCAATCTGATTGTGAATTTCTACTAATAAAATCAATTTTAATCTCTTGAAAATTATGAAGAATCAATAAAATGATTTTTTTTTCACATTCGATTGATTTGTTAACACATGAGATTTGCAGAAGTTTGGGAAAACAGTTTTATAATTTAAAAACATAAACAACATCCACTTAAAATTTCAAATGCTATAGCCATTGATAGATGTTGTCATAAAAATAAGAAGAAACAACCCAAAAACCGGATGAGTAATCTGCTGTAACCTTTTCGTCTTGTTTTAGCTTGGCTTCTGTTATCTGATGAAATTTTCACCCTCCAAAATTTTCGATTTGCTTTTTCAACCATCCCAGTCAATTATAAATTGTTTTCAACTTAATCCGAGAGGTTTCATTTGCGACAAAAGGAGATTGTGTAAGCCAGATAAAAACGTTTAGATGACTACGAGAACTTGATAGAAATCGTAAGGGTGTCAAAAATGGGATTTTATTTTATTTATCGTGCTTAGATATTCTTCATGTTGACATCAATTCCTTGTGATGATACCGCTGTGTTGTTGTGAAAGATTATTTGTAATTGCGACAGCTAAATGTGCTTCAAGAGAATCCCAATTTGAAGCTAAAGCGGTAATTAAGAACACACCAGTTCTTCAAATCTTTTTTCTATTAAGCAAACTCTTCTGCTGTTCCCTCCCTCATCTCATATTGATGATTTATTTTTTAATTTAGGATTAGGCAAGTTCTCCCTCACAGATAGAAGTAAAATGCATGTTAAACGACCACATGAAATAATCTCAGTTTATCATAACTGCGATTGGATATGGTGTATTAAGAAATGAAAGGAGCTGCGTCAGTGTTTATAATAAATTAAATTTATTGACCAGGAAATATTGCATTTACTTGTCCCTTCTCTTAGCACTCATAATTCGACTTGAACGACATGAAACTAAAAAGGGGAAAACAAAGTTATGTGATACTCTCGTTTATATACCACGAAAAACATGTTAAATTGATTTCATTTAAAATTATAAATAATTAGATACAAATTTCGTTCTACAAGCTTAAAATATTTTGCAATAGCAACAAAAAAGAAATGAAAGCAAACTTTAACTTCTACATCTCGTTTTGAAAACATTTCGCAGACATTTTTTTTATCTTGCAAAATGTAACATAAATTGTTTGATTGGTTTACGTTGCAAAGCAAAGTTAAGTCTATTTGTCAAATTTGTCACGTAAATCAATCATAAAACTTTCAAAGGATAATTATCTTAATTATGTAGAGTTCTTAAGTATTGGAGCTAAATGTCTACGTCCCTTGACGAAGTAGCATTTGAATGGCAAATTATACTCTGCATAGAAGCGAAATTAAAACGTCCCAAACATATCAATTCAATAAGCTTAATGAGAAAATCATCTATTTAATCATTTTCCTAGAAAACCAAAACACGAATTCGAATCTGGCCGGAAAAACAATTGAGAATTGGATCCCATTTAATTAAACATTTGAAGATTTTCTGTCTTTTCGACGAAATAGACAACTCGATGTGTTCAAACAATTGATTATATGTCCATTTTGGGTCATAAAGTGCTAGCAATCATGCAATCCTCCAGGATAATAAATTAACCTCGCTTCAAACGAAATCAATTAGTCACGAATTACATAAAAAAGTTTTTGTTACTCCCATAGGAAGAAAGAAAAAATAATCTATCATGTAAGTGGATTAAAGCAGTAAAATGCAATCGAAGCAATTAAAATAACGGCAACGTCCACAGTTGATTGAATTAAATAGAAGCAGTTTGTCAATTTGTAGCTTTTATATTTGTTTTGCTGGTGAAAAACCAACACTTCATAGCGTCATCTGATCTTTCAATATAAAACGAAAAATGTTACTAATCTACCGATTTTATTAAGCAGCGTCGATTTCTAACCCAGCCTGACTGATTGATGTTTTCAACATAGAACGATAGCTTTATGGGTTTCAGTCACGATAACAATTTTCATTTTGAAAACTCTACTTAATTATGAGCTCACTTCAAATTTATTTCGACTTTACATCATCTGCGTTTCTTTACCATTCTGTCAAAGATGAATGAATTGAAATCTTTAGATGTTTTTTAAGAAGTCGTTTAAAGTTTGATATCATTAAATTTTATACGATTTAAGTAGCTCAACAATCTGCTCTCTCTCTTAAGCTTATCAATGAGGAAGTCAATTTCCGAACTCCCCTTAAAAGTTTAAGTTACCAGACTGCATCTTCATTATTTAATAGCAGTTCTAAAACATCTGTTTTCAGTAACTGCTACAAATAACAACAGTTCTTTAGGTTGTAAAGTTACACCACAACTTCAAAACAAATTTGAAATTGTGGTTAAAAGGATGAGATGAAGAGTGAGTGTGAGAGATAAGCAATTATTAGAGTGACAGTTAAATGCGTACAATATGCGATTGTCAAATTTAAAACTTTTAAACATTTTCTTTCATTCCTTGTTCATCTTTTGTGGTGAAGATTTGACTTTTCAACTTTCGGTCAATTACGTTATAGATGAAAACTATCAACAAGATCAAACATTTTGTCCGATAACTTTTCAGTTTAAGAAATTTTCTCTGACGATTGATTGGCAGTTGTCACATCGTAAGAAGAATTTCTGATAATTGTTATGACAGTTTGGAAAGATTTTTTTCAACATTCAATTGTGCAACGTTACAATTCATAGTTTTGGTGAGAAGTGTTCAAAGGAAATCAATTTCAGTGATGTCGTGATGTTTACTAAATAATTCTTTACAAAATTGAGAACATAACTTCCGTATTAGAAGTCAGTAATTATGAAAAGAAATTTTCGTTCAAACAGAATCGCTTAAAGTGTTCACATGCTGTCTAAGGTATGTGAGGCCGACCGGTTTTTATTTACAATCTGACAAGCCAAATAAGAAAACTAAAATTGAAAATTTAAGATCGCTAATTCTTCCTTTAACTGAATAACGAAGGAAGGTGAAAGAAAAGTATGAGAAGGGAATATTTTTCATTCGATTGGTTAATAGAAATAGTTATTATAACTAATATTTGTCTGGCCTGACTTTTAACAAAAATTTTTTAAACATCCATTTGCGGTTTTCATTAAGATACAAACTGTTAGATAAAATTGTATATTTTATGTCGGTTTCAACTCATTATTTGTTCTTTTAGATTATTTGTGAAAAGAAAAATTTTAATGACACAAAATTACCCCTTTAGTGAGTTTCTTCTTGTTTTTAAAAATTTCCGTACACTTCACATTGACTTTTCCCCATTTTCAAAAGCACTAAAGTTTTTAAATCATTGTTTAGGTAATTATTTTCAACCGATTTGGATCTTTAAAAACGAAAAAAAAACCATTAAAATGATTATTTTTTTGCTTTTATGGTCTTTTCACAATTCAACAAAGCCATGCTTGAGTTTCAAACTTGTGAATCTGGCAAAAAACAAGTCTTGATGGGTGTGCTCTTGTTTCGTTCAAATTATGAAACATCAAAAGCTTTTTTCAGATCAACAGAAACACAAACGATATGAGAAAAGCAGAAATAAGAAAGAAATTCCCAAATTCCGCGAGAAAATCAATCGTGAAAGTGGCATGTTGAGAAAAAAATTGAACTCGTAAATCTTTTCTTCTCCCTCTTGTTATTAGTAATGAGCTTGTAAAAAAAACAACTGGCAGATAAATGTCTGTAAAACATGGTGGCAAAAGAAAGGGTGGATTCTCAATTACACGCTTAATCGACCCGATTTTTGTTGTCAAAATATGTACATTTCAATTTGTGTACTGTTAACTTTTCTCTCAAAAGCAGGGTATAAAATAGAAATTGAAAATGCCAAAATCTACATTTCCATAAATCCTTCTACAATGCAGACAAAAAATCCGCTTGAGCTAAGCAATTGAATGAAGAGAGTGAAGAGGGTGCAGAGGGTGAAATATGTCAAGGGAGTGTTAAAAAAAATGATAGCTAATTGTTATTGTTCTTCTCAACATTAACACAAAAAAGCTTGAAGAATTTTCACAAACATTTTTCACTCCAATACAGAAAGTTCAAAATATTTTAAAAAATAATCGTCCACGTCTTAATTGCATTTGTTATGTTTCATTATTGAATCAATAAAGAGGAAATGATCACAAAATTGAATAAATTTAGTTTAATAAATTTAGTACATTTATCAATCGACCTTTATTTAGACAAATGCGTATAAAATATTTAAGTAGCGTTTTTCAGCCACCATCCGAGCCAACCACATTAACACAAAAGAATCGTTTAAAAGACAAATCGATGGATAATGCGACTACTTAATTTTTTGTCTTTCGCACTCCAGGCTTTCCGTTTCGGCTGTAATTTCATAGGAATTAATACATTACGCTATTTATCAATGCTGCTTGTTTGAAATAAAAATAAAGAAAAAGATTAAATCTCGTTTTACAAGGTTTTGAAGATTTTAATCACACAAAAAGAAATTTCATAGAATGGAAACAAGCGGCGAGCGAGTAAATTTCATTTAAGTTGAATTTTATCGGTTCTATTGTTAAAAGTTATTTCTTGACATGTGAAATTGAAAACTAATTCCATCGAATTTCATCCTTTCTTTCTTTATAAGCCCCCACAGCTTATGACAAAATATATGTTTTGATAGCTTGAAATTGTACATTTGTTTCCAAACAAACACCTAGCGATTTAATAAATGATGCAATTTGTAACCTTTCTAGAGAAATTGGAAAACTTAAAATGAAAGGAAATTTATTCAAAATAAGTTTTTAAGACGGTCCAATGAGAATCTTTGCATCGCGTTCCTTTCCACCTTGCTGGTCATGTTATTTCTCTGGTTATTTGTTTCAATTAAAATCTTTAAAACAAAAATTAAAAGATTCATTCAAGTGAATTAGACGATCATGGAATCGAGCACATAAAAATAATAAAAGAAACATAACAATGCAGACACAACAGTACATAATTGCAGTAACAATGAATAATTAACAGCACGATTCAATTGTTTAATTGCATGCAATGGCAGTGAAACGCCAAAAGCTTGTAAAGCCATGAAAATTGTTTTATAGTTAATTTCCATTTATCGATGAATATTTTAACAAACAATGTGCATAGTTTTAACAAAGTTGGATGATACAACGATGTAATCTGGTAGGTCATTGCGACTTTAGTTTATTAATGAGACATGATTCTAGTATATCATAATAAATTTCTTTCATAAATTTTTACCGAACTTCTCATTGATGCATTTAAAAAATTCAAAGGAAATTTAAACTCGTAAAAGAAAATTCATTTTGTAATTCCATCAATTTTCTTATCAATCAAAATGTTTTTAATAAATATTGCAAGTTCAATCAATAAATGTTCAATCAATGTTTCCATCTTTTTAAAAGCTTTTACATCAAAGTACTTGAATATAAGAAGCCGACAAAGTGCAATGAAGCTACAAAGGAAGCGCGAAAATTGTTAAGGGCAAATAAATAAAATAAAAAAAAATAACAGATAGATTGCTAAAAAAGGCGAGAAAAGTGGTGCAATAAAAATGATTTTACAGAATAAAAAAAAAGCTTCGGACAGAATAAAATACAGCACCTTGTGCTGCAAAAATGATCAAACTTTTCCCAGAACTTCAGGGTTTGAACTTGACTATCAAAACTTCCATACATCCACAAAAAAGAATCACTTTAAGCAAACCCTGACTGTAATTTTGCAATAAATCTCCATGAGAGTTCATAAATTATTTTCATTATGCTTAAAAGCCCTTTTCACGATCACTCCCTTTTCAGTGCCTCAAACGAAGCCAATTTCATTGTCTTGTGGATTTCATCTCCAGTTAATGTGATATGTTTATGCACTTGATACTGTGGCGAAACAGAGAAGAGACGCAGAAGACGCCAAGGTGGAAGAGATAATAAAATTGCCTGAGAGGTGTGAAATTAAAGACACAAAAAACCGAAGCGCAGCGGAAAATCAGAACGATATAGGCAGATGAGAGAAGACACCGCTCTATACTTATTTATGCGATAATAGTCAGATCATCATCTCAGAAACTTCTAATTAACTCAACCCGTATTCTCTTTTATAACATTTTCAACCATCTGATTGCGGCTTCTTTAACGGCGTGGCGTGTATGTATGAAACTTTCAAATTGAGGATGAAAGGAAGACTGCTGGAAACTGAAGCATTTCATTGAACTAACTGCTCCAATTTTGTTTTGTGTTTTATTACTTGTCTAATTAATGATGAAAAAATTGGAGATAAAAAGTGAGCGAGAAAGAGTGAGTGAGTGAATGAGAAAATTTGAGATGGAAAGCAAATAAAAAATTTCTTCGTTAGGTTTATTCGTTTGTTCGATGGATTTAACATGATTATTTGAGAGATTATTTATTAATAATTTAAATGACATAACACAAGCTAATTGATTGCAATTCTCATTCACTCTGTGTAGCCTTGAATTACACCTTTCTTAAATACTTATCCAAGCTCTATAATCACATCGTTGCAATTCAAAAGTCAATCCAATGCGTTCAATTCGTTTTTCTTTTCTCATAAAAATTACAAAGAGAAAGAAAAATTTGTACTTGGATTCTCGTTTATGCCTTAATAATTTGCACCCGTTATTATCGTTATATCAAAAGCACGAAGGAAAAAAAAGCAAAAACGCCATGAGCTAAAGCGCGCGCTTAAAGTTTTTCGTCGTTTTTAACCTCTTGCCCGCGCAGAATTTCCTTTGTCGGCGAAATTCAAATAAAAAGAAACTTTTGTAGCTGAGGAATCAACGCCTTCTTTTATGAAACAAAAGGCCAGCATTTAACAGATTTCATCATTCCCGACAACTGCCTCTTTCTTCCTTTCTGCAGTATAAAATCTTCTTTTTATTTTTCCGTCTTGATTTTAATTATGACAATATTCTCTAATTCGCGAAGAATTGCAAAAGCAAACCTTGATAATCGATCATTCATTCTGATCAGACGCAATCATTTTACACTCGAACATGACAATTAGTGCTTTAATGCATTGACAAACACTCGTAAAATTCAAGGGAGGTTCTTTATAAAAATTAATATACAAATATGATCCTAATCTGTTGAGCTTTGAAGGATAAATAAATAAATTTTCACCTGTCGAAGTCAATTTTAAGTCGTTTTATAAGAAGCGAATGTTTTTCGAAAATCCGTCAAAAATTCAATTTTTTAATTTGTACATTTTAAGAGCACGCCGCTTGCGCATTAATATCTTTCATAAATTATATTTAATTTTAAAATAATACATCGTTTGCGGCAAATGCAGGCAACGTTTGTTCGTATATTAAAAACGTATAAATAATAATTTTCTCGATTCAACAATGTAGGAGATTGCAAAGGGAAAACTATTTAGTTTAAAAATCACTTAAGCTTTTGTACGTTGTTGCTTGAATCTTAGGAGTGAGAACGAAAACTTGTTATTATCTTTTTCTCGCGAAAACGTTACATTTAGATGCATACACATCTCATTCATTCATAGTTCTCCCTAACAAAACTTTTACTCATCGTTTCACCTACAAGAAAAAATTTTCTGTTTGTTTCATTTCCACTCATATTTAATATTTTCTATTTCAATTTTCAAAAGAACAATCTTTCCCATAGTCAAATAAATTCGAAGAAAACCTTTTCCTATATCTCTATTTTGCTTATGCCAATGTTGTTTTATTCTTTCTTTTCTAATTTCATTCACATCCTTCGTACCTTTCTGTGATCATTTTGTTTTTGTGCTCGAAGAGAAATTTCTAATATTTTTTAATAAAAACGTTTATGTGATTTATCTTGAATGTTTTGCCTAAGTAAGTTTCCTATTTATAAAATAAAATACCTACATACATTGGACGTAGTCTATCCTAGAAAACATAAAAATATGTTTTTCTACAATAAAAGTTGAAGCTATTTAGCATAAAAAGTGCTTTGACTTGATGCAATAAAATTTCATCCAAATATTATTCAAGAAACAATTTCAGATTGTTGGAAGGATAATCGCAAGTGGTTCTGACCACAGCAGCTACTTTTTTAAGCACATACATCATACTGTTATGTTTTTGAAGTAGTCGTAATCTTATTCTCCAACTTAAGACTCCAAAATAATTTTTTTCTTTATTACTCCTCATAAAATAAAATTGTCGGTATTTGAATGAAATGAATTTGAAACATATGTTAATGAAATAAGAAACGAAACAACAAATAATTTTCCGACTATTTTCACAATTCCTCTGTAGGATATGAAATCTTGCAGCAGTGCTATATTCAATTATTATTCTTGTGATAAACATTGTCAAATTTTTCACTTCTCTGCTTAGATATAAACAAACGTTTGATTATTATTCTTGCGGATTTAAGGCTTGCTATAAAAAGAAATGCAGAGAACCTAAAGACTGAAGAATGTAGTAATAAGAAAGTAAAAATAATAACAAACTTAATTTATGTCTTATCCTAAGCCTGCTTAAACGTTTATGTTCAAGAAATGAACTCAAGCTTTTGAGCTCACCCTTATGGTTTTCTGTATGCTTTCCATGGAAGAAATTGTTTTCCTCTCATTACACCTGAGACTCAATGTAAGGAAGTAATGAGAGTTTATTCGCGTAAAACTTCTACTGTAATTCTGCCTTAAATTCTTTATTCCTTTTTATGATGAGAATGCAATTTCTCTGTTTTCGGAATAAACTACATGGATAAAGATTACAGATTTATTGATTATATAAAATAATTTCTATTAGAAATCTTATCTTGATGATTCTTCCGGGATTTTGTACAGCTATTTGTGCAGATAAAATGAATACAAATTATTGATCGGGCATTAGAATAAAAGCTAATAATACTAATTTAAAATCATTTTCATTATTGAAATATAAACACTTTTAATAGAGTTGGCAACATGGAATTATAACATGTAATTGGCAATATTTAACCGCAAACATTTTCATTAAAAAGAATTGAGGAAAATTAATTGTCTCTCTTATGAGGTTATTTCGGACAAAAGTCAAGTCATGTGGTCAATTTTTGCAGATGCTTAATTTTGCTAACATTCGAATCATGAGCTTTATATGGTAAACCACAAGCACGTCTTTGAATTTTTGAGTTGCGTCTTAATAAATATATTGTGAATAATTTTGTGGTTGCAGACTTAAACTTAAAGAATCATTTAACCGATCAGAATTGATGTTTTATGATTCAGATCTCACATTTGTCATGACTTTTTAATTCTTTCTCAAGCAGCTTCATGCAACTTGCAATATTTTCTACTTATTTGGATTAAATTTTAATTCGAAACTCTGCTAAATATATTTTAATGGTAACTTTGTGAAGAAAGCTTCAGGGACAAAATAAAGTCAACATCATTACGATCATTATCTCCAATAATATGAGTTTATTGGACATAGTAAGTTTTACTGAACATAAAGTGGAAAACATCTCGAAAACTAAACCAAAAAGCTTTTCAATAAAATTTAATTAATCATTGTTTAATAAATTCTAATTCATATTTTATTATTTCTTTCACAGCTTCACAATAACAACTCTCTTAAAAATGTCAGAAAAATCTACAAAACGCATTGCAAGCAGTTGCGAGATAAACAAAATCTCTCTTTCAAACACAGAGATCGGATCATAAAGCTCCGCCCTAATATTTTTCTCGACTTGTTAAATAAACAATACGCGGTGTCTCGACAAACACATCAATAAGATATTTCATCTGGAAAGAAAATCTAAGAATTATGATATTCAAATATCCGTTGAGTGACAAAAAGCTCTTAATAATGGAAACTTACTATCACCAGTAAACGCTTCTTGCTTATTTATTTATTTTCGAAATGAGATTAAAATTGACAGAACATTACGAACGTTACGCTTTAAAGGTTGTGCAAGTTAATTATTATGCTACAAATGTATGAAAAACATGTGTACATTAATAGAAAATTTACGACGTGTTTCCTCTGTTCCATGCAATTTATGATTCAATGCTCGGTTTTTTATATTACCGAGATTTATTTTGTGGTTTTACGATAAGCAGTAGTGAGACCACCTCGTCGTCATAACAATTTGTGATCGGTTTTTGGCTCAAATAATTCGCGAATAAAATTGATTTCAATTTAAAATCGTAGCTTTTACTTAACAACTAACCTGTTAATATTTCTAGGGCAAATGAAATTAGCGCTTGGTGGGTGTTCAATTGAGTATTAACTTATTTTTCGTTTCCTTTTCTCATTTATACTTCATTAAGTGTAAAAAGTATAATCGAAGAAATAGAGCTGCACAGTTGAAATGAAATCTCCGATAAAAAACAAAAAAATTCTGTACTCAACATTTCATAAGTGTAAGTAAAACATGAACAAAAATTTAATTTTCTATGCTTTTCTTTACGCTGAGTGACTGCAACTGATGTTGATAAAAGATCATGAAATCATGAAGTGAAGCAAATTTAAATAAAAAGCTTGACCACACATTATGATTTAAACATCATCGACTTTAATTTTCCATTTAGAGAAAAAAAATGCTTTGATTGACATATGCTGGAATTCTATTAAGCAAAAAAGAGCGTTCAATCAAACTTTGGTATTCAACCACTCAATCTTCATTTAACTGTTGCGAGATTTTAATCTTCACATGCTTTCAAGTCTCTACATCACTAACCTTGTGAGAAAGGAATGTTTTTTCTGCTACCATTGTATGCTATATCTGTGTAACATTCAGTGTACTGGTGTGGAACGCTACTTCATTTTACATTTTTGACGTTTTTTAATTCGATTTATGCTTCTACATAGCATTCATCATGGGTAAAGTTTTTATGCTTTCTTTCTTCTTTTAGGTTATCGTGAAGAGAACTTTAATCTAATGTCAATAGAATTCCAAAGCTGATAATATTTTAGATTCTTTAATTATTTCAACATGGAAAATATTAACAAAACTATTTTATTATTCTCTAAACATTTCAATTAAAATTTCATATGAAATGAAGAGTGTCGTTTACTCATAAACATTCACATCGTCTATGTTTCAATTATAAATCTTCTGTGAAAAATAAATAAAAAAAGCGGCAACAGAAATCTTCATCAATTATTAAATTACATCGTGTGGTTAATGAAGAAATTTAATTTTCGCACTCATCAGTCACAGTTAAAAGACAAACCGCGCTTGAAGATATTACATCTGAGAGTGCCAACGTTTCACAGCATATATTATTCATTTGTCAACTAATTAAAATTTTTATAAACATCACACCAAAGAAATTGTTTTAAGAACTGCATTATGAATGAATTAAAGATTTTTCACTTTCTTTGAAGCATGAAGAGCAAGAGAGTAAAAGGGAAGAAATGATTAATTGGATTGTCAGGAGGCATGAATGTTTGCTTAATTTTATGTCATATCAAAAGGCGTTTCATTTCTTTATGACTCCAATTTGAAATGTCTGCAAGGCTATATCAATGAGTACATTAAGAAGTGTCAACTCTAACTGATTGCAAAACAGCTTCAAGATATGAAATTTTTATTGGAGACGACAAAATAACTCTTCAATCATATTTTAAGTGATGAAAAAATGTGAAACCCACCGAATTTATTCAAGCTAATTAAGATAAAAGGCGTCAGCTATTTGCATTATCACTTCAGCGTTTCTATCATCACTCATCTTAATATTTTTTTTTAATTTTTAACGCACAGTTTTCAACACATTGTTTCAGATATTTTCTGACAGCATCGGTTTCAATGGTTAAATAAAAACAGTTTTTAATAATTTTAACGAAAACCAAAAACAAAAATCTGTCTTTCATTATCTTATTTTAAAAACGGAAGAAGAAGTAAAAAAATCGATCGATTAGCGCATGAATGAACCATGCTGATGATGAGCTAATGAATGTGTTAACTTATCGACGATCGATAGAATTCTCTCTCAACCTGGTGAAAGGAATCATTAAATAAAGGCCAAAGAGTAAAGCTCAAGCTGGCGAAATGTCTCAAAAAATGAAACTCGTTTTCATTTGGTTTTGTAGCTTATTGTGTTAATGACAATTTAATGTCCGCGCCTTGCTTCATGGAAAGATTTTCATGCCAACTGTATTCAGATGTAAATTATAAGCGAAAATGTATTAAAAAGAAAACAACATTGCTAATGTTGCAAAACAGCTTAAACATGTTTCATAACGACTTTTCTTAATTAATATCGGAAGGGATTTCTTCCAATTTACGATCCGTTAAGGTTTTATAGTAAACAAAAATAATTCTGTACTAGAAAATGAGCGCAGTGACAACAAAAGTTGAAAGCATGTAGAAAAATAATGGGGAAATAATGAAGCACGAGAAGAAAAACACAATTTATTGAGGCATATTTTCGTTCGTCTACCGCAGTGAAATGGGAGAAGCTGTCACACATGACATAGCATTTTGGAAGAGGAAGGAAAATGTGACAAGAAATGCGTGTGACCTAAAGAACTCATCCACACAGCAGCAAACTGTGTGGTCTAGCCTTAGAATCCCTTACAAAATATCCCTTGTTCATTCTTCTGTTTCTCTTTCCACAAAAAAAGAAATTTTTGTTGATGTTTATGTAAAATGTCAGCAAAACAACTGAATTTTGATGCGAAAATAGTCTGAAGCCCAATTAAAGAAGTTTGAGTAAGAGCGTGTTAGGTTTCATGTGCCGATATCCTTCTTAACACATCATAAGTTAGTGTTATTTTTATTCATCTTTCACACATGTTAAAATTCTCTGGAAACATTCTCATAAATTCATTTTGAATTGGTTAATTCTGCTTTACATACAATCTCAATAAACATCAAACTTTTTTAATAAAAACGATATTGGATCCCACTGTGGAATCTCCCATCACGACATAGATCAACAATAAAAAAAAAAGAGAAGAGAAAAGGAAACCAGTTTGCGACAAAAGAATTAAAAATGTCTTTGATCACCTCAACTTTATGATTTTATTGACACTTTATAAATGCACCACGAAGGTTATTGATTTTTTGGAATTGATTTCTAGAGAAGAATCATCAGAAAATTGTTCATAAAATAAAATTTCCATGAAGAATGACATCATGATTTCTATCGAATGGTTCAATTACGTTTGATTGATTAGAAAAGTTGTAGATGAAATCAAAAACAGATTCAACAGGGGGTCATATTAAGAAAGTTGTTTTAGAATCTATTGAAGACATGTGTGATACAAATATATCAACTTTTGAATTCAATGTTCACATAAATGCTGAAAATTGTCATATGAACTCTTCCAAATCTTAATACAAAGCAATTACGTTTTAAAATGTTCACATGATGTATGTCAAATTAACGCCATTCTTATCACATAAAAATATTTCCTAACATTTTGAATCTTCATTCCAAAATTCTTACAACATATCAATCAGAAGATGATTTTGCTTATACTGAAACATGTTGATATGTCATGCTTATCAAGCAAATCATGTTTAAAACGTCAGATTGATTTTGTAATCATGGTTGAGTGCGAAACGCTCCTGAGAATTCCTTTTTATGTCACGCACTTTTCTGCTTGCGTATGTTTTTTATTCATTTCTCACAATGACAAACAATCTAACAAGCTAGCATAACATGAAATTCATATATTTCATGACAATTTGTAATGCACTTGCAGAGGAAAAATTATGTTCATTGTGAAAATGTCTGCCACTAATATGATTGACTTTCATAACATTAAAAATATTTCCTTAATTTTTCCGTGTAATGTTGCATTGCTGATTTTTTTGAGGGTCGCAATGATTTCATGTACACATAAAGTTTAACACAATTATTTTTAGATTTTCATGTCATCCACCCCTCTTGTAACCCACAATATACTCTTTTCATAATGTATCCTAATCAAATATTTAGCACCAGTCAAATGGAAAATTACGTAAAGAAATGAAGTTTATTGTGTGAACTTGACGATAATTTTATTTGACGTTCCCCTTAAGCATTGCGAAAACTCTGAAACTGATACATATCTTGGAAGGTATAATGATATCATGTAAGTATGAAAAGAATTTATGAGAAAATTCTTACATTTGATTTTGAGCTATAGTTGAACTTTATTTTATTTATGGAGATTGTAAAATTTTATTTTCGATTGAGATGATTTTTTGACAATAAAATAGAAATTGCATTAAAAAAGTTTCTTAAGCGATAAAAATCATTTTCAGATTAATGTTTATTGAATTTGAACTCCGAAGCAACTTCAAACTTCTTACATTTTTGAAGTGAAATGTCCCGCAATTATTCAAAGTAAGTCATTACTTGAATGCTGGCAGCATTTCTCGTAATAACAACCCTTAATATCCGTTTAATGTATCCTGCTTGTCTCGTCATTTTCCAGAGAAACTTTCTCTCATTTTATTATAAATTCGTTGTTAATTCATGATGATTGATAATCAGCGGACATGTAATTGGCTCCAATTGAAGTAAAACAAAGTAATAAGAGACATTTTGAATTTTAATGATCCGCCTTTCAGTGAATAAAGAGGCTTTTAAACATCGAATTTGATGCGCTACCTCGCTATAAATATATGTAATGTATTGCACCAGTCTTTGTGACGAGAAAAGATATAATCACAGACACGTGACTCGATCATCCTCTCTAATTTGTAATTGTAGAATTGATACAATTGAGAGATTCCTTGCTCTGACTGTTACGATCACGCCAAAATGTAAATGCACGTGATAGTATGACGACACGTGTTGAGGCTTTATGGGCCAAGAAAAGTGATCTGTATGACAAATTTATAAATTTCAATTTCTCCTCACAATGATTTAGTCAAATTTGAATTGGAAGAAACAATGAAAAGCGGATATGAAATTAATTTTCATATGTTGGGAGTGTTAAGGCATTAAACTTGTTGTGATTTGACTCGAAGGCAATGAAGTTTTTAAAAATTTATTAATTAGATGATTCTCAAAACCATAGGCATGCGACGCGGGATATGATTTATGGGACGATGCTCAGGAATTTTAACACTCGACGCTTCGACACGAATTCTTGCGTTTCATTTTTAATTTATCAGATTGTAGTTCGAGTGTGGTGGTCTTTTTAAAATTTTGCCTTTCTTCGGATTTCTCTTATTAATGAGAAATATTCTGACTTTTTATTTTGGTGACAAAATGAACCAGATGATTTAAATTTATAACAGTTTCTTAAAATTGTCTCGAAAAAGGAAGCTGAAAAGCTGTTTGATGCTAATTATCTGGACGATTTCCTTTAAAAGAAAAGAAATACAAATCATTCACACATCGTTGACTTTGAGGTTTCACGGAATTTGATACACAATTTATATTTATATTTTTTTCTGAGTTCCCAAGAGCTGACTGCGATGAATATTCCTCTCAAATGGAGAATCGAAAGCATATGTTTCGGAAGAGAAAAGGAAGTTTTGGAACTAACAAGCTCTTGATAACCAGTAATATGTTAATGTGATAGAAATAATTGATTACAATGGTTCGTTCATTCTCCCATGAAGTTTAAGTTCTAATCCACTTCTTAAGAAGTTTTTTCAAGTTATTGATTGAATTTCCTTTTAATAGAATGTGACAATAAAAATCCATAATGTTCTCTCAACAGTTTAAACATTCCATTTAATGATTGACTTTATGACAACTCAACGATAGTTTTCATTGTTTGCAAATGTTCCAATTAAATTTTTAAACTATAATTTTATAAACCAATCTTTATTATCTTTTTCCAAATAATAATAAGATACTTAAATATACTTAAATGCCAACGATTCCGTTATTTAAATTCACAGTTTTGTATTGTGAATCGATTAAAAGAAGCACATTGGTTGGATTATGATCCGTAATAATTTAAGTTAATGTCGAAAACAATTGCTTAATAACTTGTGTGGAAATATGAAATACTCAAGCTTGAAAATCTCGAAAAAAAACCATTCAAAAGCTTCACAACTGTTTAATTATTGCGAGAAGAATTTGTACATTAAGTCAAAATTACTCATGAACGGAAACAAATCAAGACGACGATTTTCACTCGTCATCAACTAAATTTAGGCGCCGCCGTTACATTGTCTTAAAAACTTTCGTTTTTCCTGTGAATTTCATTTCTGTTTCTAAATCTCCTAATATATTTATTACTCATCATTCATCAAGTGTATGATTACCAGGAAATTTTTCATCTCTCTCGTTTTCTCGAATTATTCTTTCGCCGCGCAACGTTAACTTTAAAAAGAATATTTTATCATAATAAAATGCGTGTCAGTTAACGAAGAATAGTTTTCAATTATCAATCTTTCAGATTTTGTTTCTTTTATATAGGTGTAGCCTTTAGAATTTGAAATGTACACTATTGTTGAGAGTTTTATGACACTACACGAGATCACCATGCGATTGCTGCTTTTAGTTGTTGATTTTTAATTTCAATTGAATTCTTAACTACGGTTAAATAATACAATTGAATAAAAAATAGAAATTGAATTGTGGGGGACTGTTCAACGATGGCTATTGTAATATTGTTTGTTATATTTTTGAAGGAACAAGAAAAAATTAATAAGATTATAAATGCTAAGGTGAAGGAGAAGAAGAATTAGATAAATAAAAGGAACGCAAGTTTAAAACAAATTTTGATTTGATTGAAAGATATTCGAGATCATGGAATTTAAAGTCACAATAGTCATGCAAAAATCATTCCACATGTCGCCATCAACACTTCTATATATTTTTCAGTGTTAAATTGCATTTTACGATCTGTTTTTAAGCTACTTAAGCGAGAAATGAGATAAGGGCGCGTCTAGTTTATGTCAGCAATTTGTCTTCTTTTAATTCCATTGAGGCAAAGTCACAGATTTTTACTACTTTATATCTAGATATATATAAATAATTTTTTTTCTCTGTTTTGCTCGCTTATAAGTCATGGTGAATTTCCACATGAGCACACTTTGATTTCAAACAAGGGAGGAAATCATCGAAATTCCCATAAAATTGTAATGAGATAAGATTTTATTGTAGCGTGAAGATTGTTGAAGTCAAACTTTTCGTTGCTTCTATTCAAAATGTTAAGGATTTTATGTGGGAGAGAACAACGAAATTGCGTAAAAAGCGACTGTATTGTGATAGTGATTTATTTAGCGTAACAACTTATTTACCAACCCTTTTCACCAAAATCAGAAAGTGAGAAATGAAGACCTAAGGGTAGCGCGTGAGGCATCGTGATAAAGTAGAAACATTTATTGAGTCGCGTTTCAACGAGAGATCACAGAATTTTAAAAATTTACGAACCGTGATTAAAAAGAAATTGAGAAAACAGCCCGACATTAAGCACTTCACAGATACATTCTTATCTTCAACAGCAATCTTTAGTGAATAAAGTGAACACGTAAAAAGTTTTATGACGTTAAAAAAAAGATGACACAAAAACTACGACTTGACTTTAAATGTTACAATTCCAACAAAGGGTTAATAGCTCGAGAAAGCAAATTCATTTTACAATTTTCACAAATTTTCCGGTGTAGAGATAGAAGAAGAAGAAAATTGCGGGGGTGAAAATTTTACATTTGCGATTCTCTTGATGATTATGTTTTTTAATTTATTTTTCCTTCGCTTTTTAAGAAACCGTCATCAATTTCAACTTGTAATTATCCCTAAATATTGTCATTTAACAACATATTCATCTCGTTTCTTGGTTATTCTGCACAATGGGAATTTTTTTGTCTTGTCTTTAACATTAAGAAAGCACTCGAATTTCAACTGCGCTATTATTTTTTACTAACTTAATTATTTTAATTTCACGATTGTAATTTCTAATTGGCCCTCAATTAATTGACCCTTGAAGCATTTGCAATGGACGTGGTTTTATTGGTCTCGGTTAAAAAAAAATTAATGAAATTGTTATGAGTCAAATTAGGTACTTCACCTGGGAAATAAGTAAGAAAATTATTTCTACATAAATCTGCACTGTTATTTGGTCATCACTCAAATGGCACTCAAATGATTGTTTTATAATTAATTTTCTTTCATTAAAATCAAAAAGATGTTGGCCTTGAGTGCCATGCACAATAAAAGTATCACGCAAATTCCAAGAAATGAAATTGAATGTAAAATGAATATTTATTTTGGCATTTAATTAAGTAGATATCAGAAATTTTAATTATCACTTATCAAAGGATATCTTTTTATAACTTAATATTAAATACATTATTTCACCCTTGCAGACATAATGAATATAAATATCTGACCACACCTGTTTGAACTTTGACAAGAAGTTGAAGAAGAAAGCGAAAAAGAATAAAATTAATTTTAAACCATTAGAAGTCAAAAGTATTCAGTGTTTCACTTATTTACTTCATTACCCCAAAATAGTTTCTTTAACCGTGTGTATACAGTAGACAATGATTAAGGAAAACAAACAAACGTTTTGTATTTCTTCAAATAGCATCAATTAATCAATTCGATTTAAAGGCTGGCTTAGTAGAGTAAATAATTCCAGGGAACCGCTAAACTACGGACACTTTGAATATATTTTTGAAAGATTTTCAACAAGCGATAATTTATTGTTGATGTGTTTGGACTCTAATCGAGAAACTCAGTTTCATTACTCTTACAGGTTGTATGCAAATGTATGTATGATTTTAATCGGACCAGACGTGAACTTTTCTGTTTCTTTTCTCCATTCGTCGTTACCACAACAAAAAGAATTTCTCTGTGGCTTAATGTATTCAAAGAAATGATGTTTTCTGAATTTTAAACGAGATTTAAATAAATAATTGATCATTTATCGTCGAACAGTAGCAGTAGCGTTTTGTTTTTTTTTTTTTTGCGTGTCAGGCGAACAACATTTTTAAGCTGTCACTTCAAAATCCCAACTGAACAGCTACATGCTGATATTGGAATTTATTTTTTTTTTCTCCAAAACTTATAATCCAAGCCAGGGAGTTTTAAATTATAGATAAGTCAGGTCTTTAGAGGAAACAATATTTTACCAAGCCATCAAATTAATAGCCTTTACAATGTCATGAGTGCAGCATTAACAATCTGTAGATTTGTATTAATTAAAAAGGATTTTAAAACTTACTTATTGATATTTAATGAGAATCTATTCAAGGAATTGATTCGAATTCATTAGCTGGTTCAGTTGAAATCAACAATTTGTTTAACATATACATCAACATGACTAATTGACACAAATTCACCTTGAAGAATCTCATAATTTATCAATTTCTCTTTAAGAAACAGAACCAAAGTTCGTTAATATTTTCTCATTGTTTCAGTTGTTATTACATGGATATTCATCTACGAATGTAGAAATTGATTAATTGACGTTAACTTACAATTTTTAAATTCGATGATTCGTTCAAAACAGTAGATGTTTACCAAACTGTGCAGTTTATCAACAATTTAAATGATAAATTGCACCACTGGATTGTTTGTTCAACATTTGTGCTATGTCTTTTGAATCAACAAACCAATTTGATGTGCTGGTTGGAAGCAAAGTTTTGATATATTTGAGACAATAAAATTACATGATGATTTATTGAGAAAATATTCTCGTGTGTGGAGCTGTTTTTTAAATCACTTTAAAGATGAAGACCACCTATTGATAGTATCTGAAAGTCCAATCTTTTCTCTTGGAGAGTTCTGAAAAATTAAGAAGTGGAGAAAAATAAGTCGATGATTAAGTATCGTATTCTTTCTTTTTTTTCCTTTTATTATTTATATTACTTCAGACCAACTTTTTAAAAATTTATTTATGCCTTATTTACGTTTTTTTACACAACTCAGATTGAGTTTCATTCGGAAATAAAAATATTATGTGCTAATTAATTCGCATGTTTTATTTTTCCTTCTTTTTATTGTTATTAAATTACATTTAATATTGCAACATTAAATTTTCTATTCAGTTGTAAGATAAAAAGAAAACTTTCTTCAGGTTCACTTGTTCTAAATCTTTTAAATTAATTTTATTTATTTATATTTTTTTTTTGTTTTTGAATAATAAGATGAGCAATTTTACAAAATTTTTAATAATTACAAGAATCTATTGAAGTCTCGCAAGCGAATTTAATTCCTGATAAACTCATGAAAATAGAAAATAAAATCAATGAGTTAGAAGCATTCAAGAGATATTTGGTTAACGCAATAAATCTACACAATTCATTTTATATTCACAATAAATAGATATTCAAATATCTTTACTCTATTTCTATTGTATTCTTGAGTGCCATCGGACTTTCAGATTTTCTAGAAAATTGAGCAACTGCGTTTGGAGATAATTCATGTGGCATTGGATAAGGACTGAATCTAGGTGCATAATGCTTTGGTCTACCATCAGATGATGAAGTTTCTGAATGTGTTTGTGTTATTATTGTTCCTGGTAAAAGAGGTGGACTTCTTGCTTGATGTTGTTGTTGAGATGCGGCAGCCGCTTGTTGAAGTGCTGCTTGATTGTTGAGAAAACCAGCAGCAACTGATAATTGTGGTGACCATTGTCCCTGCCATGCTCCTAAGTTCAATGCAGAATTAACATTAGGTCGTTGATACATTTGGGGTAGAAAGAGCTCAGTGTAAGGTGAACGTCCCCACATTTGTAAATGTTGACGAGCTTTCTCTATGAGCGCAGCATCGATCGATTGAGGCATAAGTTGTGCTAACATTGGATCAGCAAAAAGACCCAAAGGTGACCTAAGATGTTGCTCAAGAAGCAATGAATCCATCGGATCTCTGTAATTGATAAGAAAAAGAAGAGAAAAGGTTATCAAAGCTCGAAACTTTTTAGTTCATTGATTTGTGAGTAAGGTTTGACTATTTAACTCAAACTCTTAAACACTTTTCGAAGAATAAATCTCAAACAAATAAAAACCGATTAAAAGTATACGCTAGACTGTCAACTTCCAATCAATTATAATCGAATTTGAAAGCTTATTGCGGATATTTTCTTTTTTTCTAAGATATTGCATCTTAATATGCTGTCAGTTCCGCCCAATTCGATGTTTTGTGATTGAGATCTACTTTATATTGTATTGAAGAAATTAAAAAAAATTAAACTTTAATCAATCATGATAATCTTCATTCAAACTCGACGGCCGCAGTCACGGTTATGTTTTCTTCGCTGCCATACACTTAATTGTTTTGTAATTACTTATACATGGGCATTTTCCGTCTAGAGGCGTATATTGCACTGCAGAAACGAAAACCGCGTTCAAAAAGAAATTTACAAGAACTGGCGAGAGAAATATTAAATTTTGATGTTCTTTTCATGTTGTTGCTGCTTTACCGCCCTATAATTTTGAATAAATTGCCGGCAATTGTTGAGTGAGAAATTCACTGAAATTAAGAATAATATGGTGAGCGAGCTGATATGATCGTTGATATGATGTTAAACTCTTTTTTCTTCCTTTTCGCTTATGTTCACCGGAGAAACATAATTTTGCTGCGCATTTTTACATAAACTTTTGTTTTCGGCTCGTCTTTGTAGCAAATTTAATAAAAACATTTGAACATGAGTTTTTCACACCTCGACATAAACGATCACTTTGCGAATTGTTTTTTTTTTGCCGATGCCGAAACTTTTTTGCAATATGGAAAGCAAAGTTTTATTTTGCTGGAAATTATTCGCCTTTTATTTCTTCACTCTTTCATCATGTGAACGGGAAAAACGTACGCTTTGCAATGCACTTTTAAATCACAAAGCGAATTACTGATTACAGGCATGAATGGCCGTGAAGTCGACACTACCAATTCTTGTTTATTAATCTCAAAGTTTGAGAACAAATGAATTTAATCTATTTAACTTTAAAACGCGCATGAGTCATCATTTGGAAAGTTTAAAATAACATAAGAAACAACAAAAAATGGTCTGCATGCGCACTTAAAAAGTATCCACAAAAGATTTATTGAAATCAGCTAAAATTTTAAATAATATTCAATCAATTATAAATTCCGTTTACCATAAATTTTAATGGTTTATCTTTTGAAGGAAGAAATTCAACGCGAGCTTAAAATTTTCTCCATTTCAGCATAAAATTATATTCCATTTTTTTGCATTCTAGATTTCATTTCGAATGCTTCTCTCACTCCAAATATTATATGGAGTGTTGAGTTTGCGTGCTGAATCAGTTAGCAAGTGATGGTATGGGGTTATTTGGTTCTTCTCTTCACTCTTTCTCCCTATTTCGTATGATTATGTATCACATAGTGTTGAAGTTGCTATGCTATGCTTTTGTTTTTGTAAATGAGAGTATCAGAGCTTTCTTTATGCAATTGTTAAAAAGAAAATTATGTGAAAAAAGGGTAGAGAAAAAGCGATAAAGTGTAAGGGTAGAAACAGTTTAGGGTTGAGAGAAAGAAAAAAAAACATGGAGGAGAAAAATCGATTTTATACTGTAAAGAGATTCAGGCAGAATTTTACACAAATTGACTTTAAGTAAAATGCCTTTAAAGATATTTTCTCGGTTATCTTTTATGTGGCTATCGTCTTGTAGATTTTTTTATGATTCAACAAATAAAAAAAAGATCAAACTCGCTTAGATTATAAATTGGAACAACAATTAAGTTTTTAATCTTAAACTGGTTGCGTCGTAAGATTCACACGTTTTGCTTTAATGTGGTTGAAGCAAACAGAAATAATAAAGAAGCAAGCATCATTCGGAAATATAAGAAAGAAGACGGTCGGTCGATGTGTGTGTTCCGTTTGAAGAACGGATGGTACATGATTGCTGCTTTATGTATTTTTGGAATGTAAATCATCGCTCGACACTACAGGCAGCAGTGAAATGTGAGAAACAGTGATTATAGCCTAAAGATACATTTCATCATCATCACTTTTTACGCTTCCTCTTCACGACATTTAAAATGAACATTAATAGGCTCACAATAAGTTACCAGCATGACAATAATTTCTTGACTTTCTTTGTCTTGAACTTTGCTTTTTCAAAACCTGTTGGTTATTGATCTTGAGTCATTTCTTGCAATTTGCATCGCATATTTGAAGGTGGGAGACAATAAAATGAATTCAATATGCCAACGTTTTCATCAAGACTATAATCAATAGTACTTTCAAGAATAACATCGATTGGTTTTACGTGCTGCTTAATGTTTGCAGCTTCAATAAAAATCATCTTTCATAGTCTTAAATTATTTTCATTTCTCTTTTTTAATACGATGAAAAATTCCTATTAAAACACTTTCATCCGGTGACTTAGCATATAAATTATCATAAAATAAATTTTTATTAAGACAATTTAAATAATTATCAACAAAAGAGTGATAGTTTAAACTTTTAAAGGATCTACACAGTCTCATTTGTATCTTAAACGATTTTCAACAGCAAGCTGTTAACACTTTTTTAAGACGTTGAGTCTGACGCATCTCGAAACCAAATTATATTTAATTCTTGCACGCTAAAAAAATCTTTGAGGCTGTTGCATGATTGAATGTTTCAAAAAAAAAAAAGCAACGAAAAGAAAAGTTAAAGCATCGACCTGGCTGACTTCATAACTCCCTTTTTTTTGTTCTTGAAAAAATTCGATTCTCTGCTCTTAAAGTGTTATTAAAATGTGTTGATTACAGGGCGGCAAAATCAAAGGCAGGCAAATTACAGTCTCTTAAAAGGAATTTACCTTGAAAAAGCTTTATTTCGGACAATCTTTCCAAGTCGAAGTAACATTTGCTTCAATTTAATGCAAAATCAGAAAATCGTTTAAAAATAATTTTCAGTTTGTGGTTAATTTCCGATCAATCTGGAATTCGATCATACAACAGTAAGTTGAGGTGACAAAAGATGAAGTGAAATTGTTCAACGAGTTTAATTACAAGGCGCCTTGAATCAATCTGTGTATCAGGTTTCTGTTAAATCAGTTTTGTTTGAAATTACACAGTATAATGAGCAACAATATTAAGAACCTTTTCATCAACCTATTATTGTCTGATCGTCCCGTCCCATCGATTCATTCTCTTCATCTTTCTGCTCTCGACTATTCAGTGCGCATTAGTTTCGGTCTCGTGTTAGACCAGGAATTTAAAAAGTCGACCCAAGTCGCATCATCAGAATCAACAGTTCAACCTCCTATGTATTCGAAGATCATCATGAAATTAAATATAATTATCACACTTTCAGTTTTAATATTTATTGCTGTCAGAGGAACGCTCTTTGGCGGCAACCGAGAATGAGTTAACTTCAGAAATTAGCCTTTTTTTTGTTTGGCCGTCGGCGGCAATTTTTTTCCGTCATTACAAAACTCTTTTCATGCGAAAAAAAAGTCTTCATCGTCATGGCGTTCATGTTTAGTTAACGTAATGTCTCGAAGTATTTCAGCGATACTTTCTTCATTAATTATGAGTAACATCATCATCAACCTCATCATCACACATTGAAATAAAAGCAGATGAACAATATATTCATATTTTTAATCTTTTTGTGTGGGAACGCGGCAGAAAAACAAAAAAAAGGAATGTTTCCCAAACTTAGACTCAAAAATCGATTAAGATAATTGAGTTCACTCATCAAAACAATTTATCATCTCTTGTTATAATTTTTCTTTTCAAGTTTAGCGTTTTTTAATTTTCTTTTTCTTCAAATGAGAAAAAAAGGAAAAATTCTGCATGGTTGAATTTGATTTCGTTTCAAAAACAAAAATTAATTAAATGCGCTTACCTATCGAAATCTGTTAACCTTGATGAATCTCTGAATCCCTTTGCAAATGGATTCGAATCGATTTTCAGCTTAGTTATTAATTGATTCTGATACGCAGTTACAGCGGTGAAGATGGTCTCGGGAAACACGTAAGTTTTGTGATCGAGTTCGGCAAGCTCCTTTGGCGTAACGGGAATGTTTTGACCAGGCGTCAAACGCACCAAATGAATACGTGGTTGATATCTATGCATTGAATTAAGAACGATCTGAAATGATGTAAGTTTTAATGAATATTTTCAATATCACGTCGTTTCAAGTTAACAAACCTGTCCATTCTTATCCATTTCGTTATTTGTAAGTTTAACTTTCTCGAATGATATCACTTGCTTCCGAAGAGCGTCAGCTCCAACTGGAGTGTCGGGATGAGAATACAGTCTTGCAGGTGGTGGTGGGTCAGCTTTCCCAGCTACAAGCCATGATGAACGATGATATGCGTAACGATAACGACGCGAATCAACAGCCACAATATCCAACAAAACAGCATATCGATCAGATGACTGACCACGTAATGGACCCGAAAATGACACACGAACTGTTGGAAACATTCGCCTGCAACAAAAAGAGAAGAATAATTGCCATTAAGTTCAAATATTAAAACTTAAAGTTCAAGTTTTCTTTAAGACGTCTTGGAAACATTATAAACACCGATAATATGATAATAAAATCGTTATTTTGGGAACATTCAACATGGAAGTATTTACTCGCAAGGTGTTTAACTCTTCTCCATTTTCATGGTCATGAAGGATCGATTATAAAAAGAAGAATTTATTCTTTCTTTTATGTCTCTGGTAAATCGTAATGACGGGAAAATTGAAATTAAAATTGATGAGAAAACCTTTCACTCATAAATCAACAGAACGTTACTTTCCAAGCCGTTGACTTGAGGAAATGTAAAAACAAAAAGCAAAACAGAGAAGAAAAAAAATTAAGAACGTTAAGTGTAGAAGAAAAAAAAGCTTAAAACGAGTGATGAGTTAGCAGCTAATTTCCGCTTGCATTTTTAATGTAATGATGTCCGGTAGTGAAGATTTATTGTTGATAAAAATAAAGCAAAAGAAGACAAAATTAATCTTGCAAAAATAAAAAAAGAGCGAATGAAGAGTCATCATGAATAAAATGATGATTAGTTAAGGAAATAAGTTACTTAGTTAGAAAATCAACGGTCAAACAAATAAGGTCACTTAAAATTCTTTTCACAAGCAGATGTACCAACGTATTAACGCAGTGGTGTAGAAATATCTCGGCCATTACTTCATATTACTTTCAATTTTGACTCATACATTATGACTTATATCATCATCAGAAGGCGCGAAAAGTCGTCATGTCAGCAGTTGCTTTAATAACCAGACGCCAGAAAAGTCCAAAATAAAATAATATTCAATATCAAATTTATGTTAATCCACATAAAAATAATTTGTTGCAGTAAAAATACTTCCATGAATGGAAACAACATAATTAAAATTGTTATAATGTTCTCTCGCTCGTTACAATAAAAAGAAATGTGAATTTATTTCATCAAGCGTGGATGTTCTTCGAGGGAGTTGGAAGAGAGAGAGAGCGAGAGAGAGAGAAAAAAGTTTCTTTCAAAGCTTTGAAAATCAAAATATTGGTTAAAGGCTTCGGATTAAATTAACAGTGAACCATAATATGGGATTATTTAATGACAATAAATACCAGTCAAGGTATCATAAACGTCATAATTTTTTTAACACATAATTTTAATCAATAAAATATGAGATGATCAGTTGTGATAAAATGTGAAAAGGATGAACAAACAAGATAAAAAGAAATCAAATCGTGGTGAAACCAGTCTTGACGGCACGTTGAATTTTTTAGTATTCACATAAAAATATATGAATTAGCATTGTATATGATCAATGATCGGTTTAGTCGAATATCACATTTCTCCATAGCATTTTTATTTCTTAAATTTCGTCGCATTTGCACAAATCATGAATCACATTCGGAGTCGTTAAACAGAAAGATTTGCAGCGCAGCTTGCAATATATTTATATAAATNTGAGTTCACTCATCAAAACAATTTATCATCTCTTGTTATAATTTTTCTTTTCAAGTTTAGCGTTTTTTAATTTTCTTTTTCTTCAAATGAGAAAAAAAGGAAAAATTCTGCATGGTTGAATTTGATTTCGTTTCAAAAACAAAAATTAATTAAATGCGCTTACCTATCGAAATCTGTTAACCTTGATGAATCTCTGAATCCCTTTGCAAATGGATTCGAATCGATTTTCAGCTTAGTTATTAATTGATTCTGATACGCAGTTACAGCGGTGAAGATGGTCTCGGGAAACACGTAAGTTTTGTGATCGAGTTCGGCAAGCTCCTTTGGCGTAACGGGAATGTTTTGACCAGGCGTCAAACGCACCAAATGAATACGTGGTTGATATCTATGCATTGAATTAAGAACGATCTGAAAAAGAGAAGTAAAGATTTTAGTATGAGTGTCATGTTCGCAATAAATTTTCATTTTTCCAATTATTGTGAAAGCTGTGAAAGTCTAGCGTCTATAACAACAGTAACAAACAAGGCAGAGCAAAGCTTTAGTCTCTTGCTTCTGTTCCATCATTCATTTAATTCATTTTTGTTTCAGCAAATTCACACCGGATAATGTTTTTCTCTCATTTCGTCGACGATTGTGGCGTGTTGATATATGATTATCGACATAATCACGGATGCTTATCACATACACACAGTCATCACATCTCCAATGTTGTGCATTCACTATCAACAAGGGACAGAAGTGTTTCGTGCGATGAATGCAAAATAAAATAAAATAAAAAATTATTTTAGCACTTTGGAAAACTCGTTTCGACAGTGCAATGGAAAAGCTTTCGATTTAACTTTTTATTGATTCAATAAATGCTCACAAAAACGGTTTAAATAGAAACATCGCGAAGTTTTGACATTTTTCAAACATAATTGACATTTTCATAAATTGCTTTTGACAATGACCGAAATTCACGAGAGCGAACAAATAAAATTATCCGCTACCACCAATTTACTGCTTTCACAAAAAGAAGCATAAATATTCAAATTTATTGTCGTTTTAATGCTTAATGCGCATGCTACTATCGCGTTCTTCTATAACTTTTCTCGCGATAAGCAATTTGCCAAAAACATATTTTCATCGTTGATAAAGCGAAAATTTATGCGCGTTTTTTTAAAAACTCTGTTGAAAGTAATAACTCAATGAGAGTGCTTTGAACGAAGTAATTCTATTCCTTATGCTCAAAAACCTCACGCTACAGCATAATAAAATAATTAAATAGCACAGAAAACTTTCCAAAACTTCGATTGTTAATCTCATAATGAAATAACATAAAATTAAGTAGTCAATCTAAACTGCCAGATTTTCAGTTCACAAATTTTGTTATTCAGTTGATGATTTTGTGGGTGAATTTAACCCTTCATCATTTAACGGTAGATTAAGCACTTCGAGATATTTATTTAATCACTTTTCGTCTTCTTTTTTCATCAATCAACTCTGTCTTCGTTTATGGAAGGAAACTTGTTTCAAATCCTTTTAATGTAATCACAAAATTAATAAATAACATCGTGGATGTACGAGAAGAGATGAAAATAAGAGTTAAATTAATGAAAGTGAAATATTAACCGCTCATTGTTACCCTATTGGATTCTTGGGTGGAGCAAGAATTTATGTTTAAAAAATAGAAGCTTCCGTTGAAATCTCAAGCGAATAAAGTAAATGACAAAAAACCTGAGCAATTTATAAGCAAAATACCAAAGGAAAGGAGAAAAATAAATGTTTCTTCCTTTAAGATTTGAGACGAGAGAAAAAATAAGAATATATATGCAAATATATGCCGAGGGCGTAGAGAGGCAATTTATCGAGTAAGAAGGGAGCGAAATATCATTTCATGTAATGTTGTGTTGAAGCAAGAAACGATTCGTAAAATTACGCTTCACTTAACGTTGACCCGATTGTCTAAGCTTTTTTTTTTCCTTCTTTCCATGAAGCTTTCGATCATTTATTTGCAACAAACTTTATGCGGTTTTCTCCATTTTCTTTTATTTCATTCTTTTTCCTCGCATTCTTTTTATGTGTGTAAATATTCTGAAATTCTTACACAAACAATATGATTTAGGTGACAAACCCGCTGCTGTTTCAACAATGGCTTCAACCATTTTAACAACTTATGAATTTTCCTGGGGTGAAAAATGAATTTATCGTTTTTACTAATACCAAGAATAAAGGAGCGGAAGGAACGCGAGGTGAGACAATAATTTTATGTAAATTTTTTTCCTTCTTACATAAAAACAGGGGACGGATTTAATGTGAGTGAAGGTAATTCAAAGAAACTCAATGACTTCGGCACATTCTCGCTTACTTGATAGAAAAATTAATTCAAAATCATTTATCGACATTAAATTAATGAAAACAATAATTAAAGGGTTTGTTTAGATTATGAAATTAACATGTCTTGTAGACTTTAAATAAAAGTTTTTTATTTACTTTTATTGAAAGTGTAAACAGTTTTCAACTCAACACTTCGCTATTTAAAAGAAAAGGAAGAAGTGAACCGAAGTAACAGATTGTGAAATGTAGATACTCAGAAGGTGCGATTATACAGTTTATAAGTTCACTGAACATAATCAACCTTCCGCGTTACTTAACAAATTATCCTTCGCTGTGATGAAGAGAGTGAATGAAGATAAAAACCAACACAAATTGTGAGATCCCTCGAGCGACTTGTAAAACAAGCGTAAATGCTTACATAGCTATGTAGCTGTTCCCCCAACTTTAATTTTTATTATTTAGGAAAAAAATATATTCGAATGAAGCACATGGAAGGAAGGAAAAGAAGAAATTTTATAAAGCGAAGCCCTCCAAAAAATATGGAAACAATTGGACATTTTTTCTTTCATAGATGAACGTGTCGAGATATCAAAACGGTGCAACACAAAATTAGTCTCTTTCATATCGGTTTATAAAACTTTTTTATGAAGAGAAAGAGAGAGAAATATTTACCTGTCCATTCTTATCCATTTCGTTATTTGTAAGTTTAACTTTCTCGAATGATATCACTTGCTTCCGAAGAGCGTCAGCTCCAAGTGGAGTGTCGGGATGAGAATACAGTCTTGCAGGTGGTGGTGGGGCAGCTTTCCCAGCTACAAGCCATGATGAACGATGATATGCGTAACGATAACGACGCGAATCAACAGCCACAATATCCAACAAAACAGCATATCGATCTGATGGTTGACCACGTAATGGACCCGAAAATGACACACGAACTGTTGGAAACATTCGTCTGAAATGCAAATGAATGTAGCATTAGTTAAGCTTTGTCATAATAAACAATCAAGAAGAAATTAACCACTACGAATAACTTAAATCACATTTGCTATCAAACGCTTGGTGATTTCCATTTTCATTAGAAATTTGGTGATTTTCGCAAATCCTCACTTCATACATAACATTTTTTATTACAATTTCAAACGCACAAGTGGCTGGCTGACTAGGAATGTTTATGTTTCTATGACGTGACAAAAACTTGAGCTTATTTTTGTGTGCGATGGAATAATTAGAATCGGCTTAATGGGTGAGCCATTCTGTATTTATTTCGTGAAATCGTAAAATTTCGGCAGTAATTCTTATTTATGATTCTTGTTCGCACTTGAATTCAACTTGAAATTATTATTATTATTTTTTTATTTACTCGAAAAATTCTTTTATTTTATATTTCGCTTTTTTATATTCTTTCACGTCGAAAACAACAAGCAGAAAAGAAAAGTTTTCGTGAAACTTTCTGCGGTGGATAAATAAAATAAAAACTGCTGAATTCATGTTGAAGGGTTCCTTTCAGTATGGCGTCACTTTAACGAGGTGTAAAAAGAATTTTCCTGATGCAACAAACAACTTTACGTGGGTCTAGTTCTCATTTTCGGTAGTCGGAAACATATATAAAATGTATATAAAGCATTTTATTTAATTAGGTTTCCAGTTGACTGTTACTTCCTGAAGGTATTCGTTTGAGGCACGCAAGAGAAAATAACAATAAAAAGCAAACTAATGTTGTACACGGCCATTTTTGTTATATTTATGCCTGTGTGTAATTATGATTGCAACACCGTGAAGAGAAATAGAGAAGACTGTCTGGATGATTTACTTGTTGTAAATAAGATCAAATCAGTCCAAGAAAAGTTTCATTTTAAATTCAAATCTTAAACCTTTGTAGCTTTAATATTTTTATATTCTTTTTATAATTTGTCAATGACTTTGTATTGTGATCTAACGAGACAGAAATTAGCTGAAAATTTAATTATAATTTTATAGCTTTTAAATTAACTTTGCTTTAATCAGCGGTCGTAAAACATTCGACACAAAATTAGAGAGATGAAAAGTCTTCATCAGCTTTAAGAACTCTCTCATACCACCTCCATGAAATGTTCATCTTTAGTAACTCATCATCATCATCATACAGAGAATTGACAACTTTTTCTTTATAATAATAATAAAGAAAGAGAAGAAAAAAAAACTTGCGTGTTAAAAAATTAAAAATGAAAAGTTAACAATCGTGTCTGAATAGCGTATACGCTTGCTGTAGCCATAAAATTATAATATGTAAAATAATCAACTACTATAAATTATTGAACTCTAAAAAAAGAAGAATGAGCGAAGGAGAATTCTACGCCACTGCTCTCAATGAGACACATTTTAAATAAATTTATGACAGTCAACAACCGGTTTGATATTAAAATTTTATAAAGTGTGTAAAATAATATTCTAGATAGAATGCTGGAATGACCGGTGTTGTTTCTTGACACATAAATAATAATTTAAAGCACACGAGAGTGCGAGAATGGAGATAAACTTCTGAATATCATTTATATTATTGAAATTTGTGTCTTTTTTTCCATTCTTTATTTTCTTTCTCCATGTTAAATCTTTTGGAAATCGTTGTATCCGCATCTTGTTACGAATGTCTCAAAACTTTTTCTCGAAGATGTCAATAATGTCATAATAGTTTTTTGATACCTCTTAAAACCCATTGAAGGTCATCAATAATCTTAATAGCTTTCGCTTGAGTAAACTAAGACTTTATGTCTCTAAGAGTTCTTGGAAGCATTTCGAAAGATGTCTTGATAAAGATCAATTTAATAAATTATGAATCGTTGACAAAACGCACCAGTTTATTGATCGTTCTACATCATCTCAAACTGAATATCTAAGATATTTGTAAATGTTTAAAATGAATGAGTAAGCTTGAGAGTGAAAATTGTTGTTTTTATGAAGTTTTTGATAATTAAAAATTCAAGGAATTCAGTTTCGATTTCTTTAAATGAATTCATTTTAAAATGTGGAAGAATGTTTCATATTTTGAATAAGATTAATGTTTATTAAAAGAGAAATAGGAAAGATTTTATCATGAAGTTTTCAAGAGCAGTAACTTGATTTGTTTTGAAACAAAGACTCAATTCACTTTGTACGTTTCTTTTGGGAAATAAAACAGAATATTTTAAGTTAAATTCCTACCGCCGGAAATTAATTTGTTTTCAAAAGAAATCTTCTTTTAAGAAATCATTTGAAGATTTCTGAAAGCAACATAAACTCGCAAAAAGGAGAGAAATAAAAAAGAGTTGCTTTACCTTTCAACATACTTTTTAATTTATTATCTGCATTCATTTTTATTCCTTTCAACTCCAGTCAAAAGGTGTGTGGTCATTTTGAGACAGTTTATCAACCATTCGAACCCTTATATAAATTGATAAAAAATGTCAGGAATTAACAGCATGTATCTATTACCACGATTCAACAATACTCTCGTACTCTCACAGCAAGAGTTGCAAAGAAACATTTATAAGTATTTCTCCTCGGAGTCACTTTTCCTCATGCTCATTGTGTAATGAATAAGGTAAAAAATTAATGTTTTGACAGTGTTTGTATAACCACTTTAAACCGTTTATAAATGTCATATCTTTAGGAGAACAGTTCTTGTGTCATGCTGTGTTGGAAAGAGACATTTGTAAGTAATGTAACTAAAGGAGTTTAAAATAAAACATAACAAAGTTATAAAATATAATAAAAACTTCAAAAATTCTTTTGACATCATTTTTCTTACTACATTTAACACAGGATAAAAATGTCCCAGTGCTTTTTGCACCTAGCGAGAATTTGTTTAATTTTTAGACTGGAAGATTTTTCAAAGTTTCCCGCAGAGTGTCAAGGTGTGTGATGGCTCTTGTGTGACTGTAAACGTGTATGCACATTGTGCACTTTCAGTTACAGGGACAAACAGTCAGCACATTCTTTCATGATGATGGTCTTAGAAATATTTTTAATGCTTAAGGTGAATGAAGGTTAAGGAAATAATTTGCGTTTGTTCTACTTCGTATCAATCTTGATGGAAAATCTTTAATGTCTCTATGTGCAGGTGACTATGAGCTGTAAAGCAGTTAAGAAATTAGCCATAGAACGAACAATAAGTTTCCAACTTGGCAATCTGACACATGTGTTGAAGAAACATGCAACTTGATCATTAGTAACTTTTTTTTTCCCTCTCCCAATGCGACTCATCAATGATATTGTGTCAATAACTGACAATGGTTGAAATAATTTGGCTTAATGTATGACGAAGATAATAATGATCTTTTTTTTTATAACGCTCAAGCCACAGCAGCTTTAAATTCATTGAAATCGTTGTTTTTATACGAAGCTCAGTATATGATAATTGCAACATAATTGCCTTTCATGAGAACGAAAAAATATAACACATGTAAATTGCCTTACCATTCAACTCTCTCGGGGTTGGTGCCGAATAAAAAAATTATATTACGATTTCAATTAGGATCAGAATATGAAATTGTCATTGCACGAAATATTTCTGTCTGATTTTTTTTCCTGTCTCTCTTGTCAACGACATCATACGATTGTAGACACACAATGATAATGAATATTTAATATAATTTAATTAAATTAAATGATTTTTACAGAAAATAATTTTGTTGCTTTTTTTATGATATTTACGAACGTTTTTTTAATCTTCTCCAACGAAATAAGCTTCGCTTGTCGAAAAAATCAGCATAACAAATTAACAAATGCAATGAAATGTCGAATTCAATTGAAGGCGTTTTTAATGAATTTTAATTATTTTCTACATTTATCAAGCTAATTATTGCAGTGCAGCAATGTCTGATCGCTGGAAAACGCGAAAACGCAAGAAACGATTGCCAATTAATAATCAAATTGTAACAATTGAAAATAATTTTCCTCCTGTCATTATTTGTTTCCCTTTCCACTCACAAAGTACGTACTTTCAATTGAAATTTAATTTAAATGTGCCGGTTTTGATAGACAGAGGTGACAAGGTATTTAGCGTATATTTTATTGAATTTAGCGAGGCAATTTACTGTGAAACTTGAAATCAGATACGAATCGCAGATAGATTACAATGCAGGCTTGCTTGCATACATATGTTGTTCATTCTTGTTAAGAATTTTGCCATTAGGAATTGTTCTACATACGTAGATATCTACATAAATTTTAACGCATGTTTTTCGCTTAACAATCGAGCTAGTTGGAACGTTTTCAATTTTCTACAACACTACATAACCATATCAGCCTTCTAGACACAGTTTAATTCACTTTGCAATTTTCTAAACCTAAATCAATGCAGGAATAAAGTGCCAAGTTTCGTGTGTTTCTCGATATAAAGCAAGTCATGAAAATGCGTCATCGTAATGGCTTCTGCCGATACATTTAATGAAGGTGGTAAATAAAATACTTTCCTACGATTAATTCAATGAGAGAAATAAAGAAGGAAAAATAAGTTTTAAGCAATTTCGCTTTCAAACAGGAATTTTCACTTCAACACGAAGACTTTAATTTGTTTTCTTTCTTCTTGTTTGACAGTTTATAGCTTTTTCTTCACTTTGCACGTTTGGCAACGTTAAATGAGGTTAAAACAAACTGTTTTCAACTCATCATCAGCCTTTCTAGTGTCAACATAATCTTTTATTTGGCGAAGAAAAATTCATTTTAAAGCAAGTTAAATATATTTCTTTCAAATGCCTAATGATTCAGACGACACAAAATTATTAAAATTTGTTTAAATGAAAAATATTTTAAATTCTTATGAATGAGAGATTAGCCAAAAAAAGAGTCGTCGACTTAAGAAGATGGTTGCAAGATTGTTGAATATCTGACATTCTATCCCGCTGTGAAAGGATAGTGTTACACTCTTTTAATTTGGTGATGAAATAATTGATAATTATTTATTTCCAACAATATTTTGTTAACGATTCTCTTCCATCCGCTTGATGATTTATGAACGCTGCAAAATGTAAGACTTTTGTGTATTTGAAACAGGAATTTCGAATAGTTAAGTCTGACAATTGCCATTTGTTTCAATCAGACCAGATCGAGTTAAAGAGTCAAACAGAGCAATGTACGCACTTCTCACATTTGAAGCTTTAACATTTGCAAAGAATTTATTTGTTAAATTTCTCATTCTTAATATCATCATTTTTCACCAAGATATGAAATTGAAACTTTTTTTCTTTCCTTTTCTTTAAAAGTAGACATTCGTTCCAGAGTTCATGGTATAATTATCATGAAACAGATGTTTTTGAAGCTATAAAGTGTCTTAATTTCGATGTCTATGAAACACTTTTGTTCTCAAAAGAAGTCAATAAAAATTAATTAAGATATTTTCTCTCTTTCATGTTTTTGATCGACTGATAAAACAAAAAACAGAGACAAGAGGCGCTTGACGGTAACTTATATCATTTTCTTCTCTATCAACTTCCGAAAAGCATAACGCAGCATAATTTCAATCCATTGCATTGATAAAAAAGAGAAACAAAAATGATTTCAGGAAGCTCCCCAAATAACAAGATGAGAAATGACTCAATCTTCAATAATGATCAATAAAAGCCACTTCAACTGAAGAAAAGAAAGAGAAAAGAATTTCTCAAGAGCCCTCAAAAGAATTGAACGAAACAGATACCTAACAGAGTATCTACTTTTTATTGAAACTAATCAGTCTTTAGAAATGTTTCCATTTATACATTTTCTTCTTTTTAATATTCACTTTAAGGGAAAAACTACTGTGCTCCTTTGAAAGCAGTCGTCGTTGTAATGATGACGATGTGAAAAATATAAACAAAATTTACGACTTTTAAAATAATAAAAAAAAGAACGAAATAACATGTGGCTTGCTTTCGAAAGATGGATTATGACTTGATACATTGTTTTAATATCCTGATATGTATTTGTAAGTAGATGTAGAAATTTCAGTTGAATATATAAAATCGATTGCGAGACGAAGTGGTGAATAATTTCTATCGCAGGGTGCAAATTAATTTTAAGTTTCACGAAACGCTAATTTGTATGTACATTAACTTAAAAACAGGTTTGTTATGTGTGAGGTTCTGCATACAAATCAATAAAACTTAAATAAAAGATACGCGTACAAGCAATTAAATAATTTTATAGTTACGACAGATGCTTTAGAACAAATAATTGAATTCGTATGCTTTTCGCTTTTCCCAAAGCATAACATTGTATAATTATCTCATCAGTTTTATTGCGTGGAACATAAGCTTGGCTTAGCTTTATTAGTTTTCCATACAATTAATAAGATTTTGTTTTGGATTTAGTAAACTAACAGAAGTATTTAGCACTCACCGTCCAGTTTTTGTTATAATCATTTCAGTCCCTAGTTCATTAAATTTGTCCCAAAGTTCTTTAGTCTCAAGATGACATTGAACTGGTTGTAAATCATCACAGTTACAAGAGCCCAATATTTTAGGTTTTATCTAGATAAGAAACCAGAAGCAAATGAATCAGAAATGTTTCATTTGATGAATAATTAAAACTTACCGGTTCAGGTGAAAGTCTTTCATCGTCTGATGGACTTGGGGTTGTTCCTCTAGAATTATTTGATGTTGTTTGTGGAGTTCTCGAACCCGAAAGAGCTTCTGAATCACTACATTGCTCCACATCAACATCTAATTCGTCATCACCTTCACCAAAGCGATTTATCGAGGCAGGACCTGTTTTATTACAACATTATTTGATTATTGAAAATATTTGTTCTAAATTATAGAGTCTGCTGTTAAATTTTTAATCAACACGTTTTACGGTGTTCCAAAACACTGAAATTCGTAGCATATATTTATGAAAACATACGAAGTGACCCTAGAGCATTAATTACATAAATTGATATTTTCTAACTAAATTGTGTGTCTCGAAACAGAATTTATTTTTCAAGAACGAAAAAGCAATCATTAGCGTAAATTCGATAGAAAATTATCCGAAATTATTTGATATTTCATTTTAAAGTTAATTATATACATCAAAATCATTCCTTATACTGAATATGTTGCTATTTACAAATGAATTTTATTCGGATAGATACAAAAATTTGTTGTGAGGAAAAATTCATCATTGACAACACTTTTCTATACTTTATCAATCAATCTCTCTAATCGATAGTTAAATATTTTTAGAATAATTAACACTGCTTACTTATGTTATATTCTGATGGTTCACCGTTTAATTCCTCCCGAGCCATAATGGCTTTTATAGAAAAGTCTGTGCCGCTTTTTAAAGCAGATGATGCAAGGTTTGCGGCGGCTATACGATTAGACCCTGATATCATGATTATTTCCACTACTTCTTTTAAGATTTCTTTTAATTAATTATTTTCAATGCTGCACTTCACTTTTATCCACTCAGTTTGTTCCAAAATAACTTTTCCGGAATTTATTTAATAGTTTTTCACTTTTTTATTCATTTTCTTTTATCCAAAGTAGATTATTTGCAATGCCAAAACTAGAAAAAATATCTTCATTCCGTCGTGTTTCAATTCCTACATGTATTGTAAAATGAACACAAAAACAACGCGCAATGAAAATAAAATATAAAAAACTGCAGCACGAACGCGAGCGTATAGTAGGGCAAGAAGTCAAACACTAAATAACATTTCTTTCGATTTTCGTTCCCTCACATCAACCGGAGAATTGGAACACACACTTCAACAATAAGCCAACCACAATTTCACAAATACATTCAGTCGAACGTAATTTCACTCTCAACATTTATCCAATTGATTTGTTTATTTTCTATACTGATTCACCACTTAATATCTTCTTCTTTGTCTAAAGCTGCGATATGCGATGAATAGAAAATTATGTGAAAAAGAAAAATTCGAGGAAAATGTGAATAAAAAAAGTCAGCTTTTATCTACACATCTTAAACTCTCCGATATTTTGAGTGCATTGTTGGCTATGTGTTGAGAGCAGAAGGAAAACGAGAGAAATATTTCGTAGAGATACTCGGTGGGCGTGGTCGCCATTTTGTTTATGAAAAATATCCAAAGAACTTTAGTTACTCTTGAATTTCCCTTTTGTGAAACATTTTCTCCTATTCTGTTTTTGGATAATAATTGAAGAAGACACTCTTGAAAATTAGGACTTGTCTCATCGTTTTAAAACAAAATACTTTTGTCTACAGGGATTTGTTTGGTGAAGAGCCTTCGCCAAAGGGGGTTTAGGCATCACGAAACAACAAGCAATGACAAAGATTTTAGAGAATTAAAAAATGGGAAAATCGATAACAAAATTTATATTCTAATTTGATGCGACTTAAAAGCATTTTTGTAGAGCATTGAAAGGTAGAAGATTTATGAAAAATATTTTCACATTTTCCAATTGCCAAACATTTCAGAAAATTGATTTCACGAATTTCAAAATTGTTCACATTATGAGTCTTAAAATTGGCTAATTTTCTAGTTTCTCTTTAAAGAGCTTATTACACAGAAATCTGCTTAACTTTCATCAATGCATTGATGTGAGAAAATCGTTTTAAGTTCACTTACATATCAACATATCTACGAATTAACAGAATACATTTAAACATAATTTGAAGCGTATCAAAGGATTGTAGGAACAAACGTAACATTTTAAGATTCCGCATAATGTTGTAAACTCTTGTGGTGTGATTTATCATACGAGTTATAAACGCTTGTCACAACATTTTCTAAATTGGAATGTGTGTAGAAGGAGGAAATGAGAAGAAACCAAAAAAAAAATTTACACTTTGTTCATGGCAAAGTCATTTTCGTTAACATCAACAAAAGAAAGGTACCTGCTATGTTCATGCCTCGTTATGGTAAAAATTGGTCATACATCAACGTTGTTATGCTTACAAACAGCGTTACAAATTTTATTGACATCAACATAGAGTTTTAAACTCCGTTACGCCAATCGAGATAATGCTTTAAAAAGTTACAACTTAAGATAAACAACTGTGGAGAAATCTCTTTTTTTTCATAGTTCCTGTTAGAAAGATTTTTTAATGGGATTTTCGTTTTTTAAGCTTTCATGAGCTTCATTGCTTTATTTCCAGCTGGCAATTGAAAGTCGATTGAAGGGCAATTATAGTACCACTAGGGAAATAAATGAAAATGATAGCAATGACATTATTCGTCTTAAACAATTGCAATAAAAAAAATCTTTTGCATAATAAAACTTTATTTGTTTTCGTTTCATAAAAATGAAGCCTCTTCAGTAGTTCATGCTACATAAATCTTACGAGACCCCTAATTAAATGTTTAGACATGAAACCTTTTTTTCTTCCTTCTTTATTTCCTAAGATTCCGCGATCCCTCAATTCGACACGCCAGGTAGAGATGAAGTTTTTATTCTTTGAAGAATTACATCCTGAATTATTATAAATCTTCAGCTTCTTTTCTTCATCAAAGATGTGCAACCACATTGAGGAAGCAAACCTGAAGACTTTTATTGTTCATTTTGATCAAGCAACAATAGTTGCCAAACGATCTGTTGTTTGATGACAGCAAAAAAACATTTCTCAGAGTTTTAACACGTCAGCTTATACGAATGCATCTCTGACTCTCGTGTTACACATTTTTTTCCCTCTGTCAGAAAACGTCATAACATGAATTGAAATAAATTCTACGCTTTAATGGCATTCGAGACCACCTAGGAAATATTTGTCTCTTGAATTTATCCGATTCTTTTCATACAAAAACGTGTTAAATTGACGATTTCATGCATTTAATTAAATTCAAATTGTTTCTAAAATTCATAGTTTATTGTGTAAATATGTAAGGGAAATGCTTTGATATGAAATACTTTTAACGTCTCCTCGAAAGTATTATGAAAGGCACGAGAAACGTACATGCGACCACCTACAAGAAAAGAGAGAAATCTTATAACCACAGGGAGCCAACTCGAGACACACAAAAAAGTGCAATACCGAGCACATTTTTCATGTATCAATGTCGTGTCTCTGCTTGAACAACGAACCTTTAGAATGAATTTATATTTTATGATTTTATTGAACTCTGTCGCATCTTTATGTAAGATGTCTTTGTTTTCAAGAAAACTTTCAAAAAATAAATAAATTTAATACTAACAAGCACTTTTAATTGAAATTATTTCAATGTTTTATGTCACAGGGATAATTGGAAATCATGATATTTTCACATAAATATTTCAAAGCAGAAAATTTGCTAATTAAATTAATGCTCAAGAAAGGTGACAACATCAGTCGCATGTGTCAAAATTTTCTTGGCTTTTCTGTCGACGTGTCAAAAGTCTTTCAATTAATACATTTGAAGTTTAATTTTAAGGTTTAAATGTCAAGTCAAATGATATCCATTTATAATTTAAGATGATTTTCTATCTCTCAGATAACTTTTCCTCATTGGGAAGTGATCAAATTCGGTTGAAAGTATCGTCTTTCAGTAATTATTTTGACATAGAAATTTTCTTCCAACGAACTTTTAATGATTGTTCAATAGAGACATTTCATTTCTTTACAAACATTTTATTTAATTATAAATATTTCATGCAAAGACCTCATCGTAATCTAAAGTAAATAAAATATTTATCTACATTAAATTTTTGCATAATTGGAACTGAATAAACAGAAACACTCAAACATTTGATATCCCAAAATTCAATTCAGTATTCATAAAATTTAAATTTATTATTTTCAATTTTCATTCATATGCAAATAGCTTGGATTCGAAGAAATCTGATTTTAGGCTTAAACTTTTTTTTTTATTTGATTGCATTTTAAATTTTTCAACAAAAGTTTTTGTCGACTGTTCATCATTCTGGGAATACTTTTGAATGATTTTGCTTGATCATCTATATGATGATCAATTACAATGAAAGGATTTTTTATGACAAAAAATATGAAACTTCTGTTCAGCATAATATTTATAAAAATTAAACATAAATGTTTTGACACTTTTAGAAATTGGTAAAGTTGTCAGGATGTGGCTTTAGACACCAGAAATATTCACATCTATTGCACAGATGGAAGGAAAAAATCAATATTTTAAACGAGCAATTCTTTTCGAATGTCTGTGGGTTTCATGAAAAGTTTTGTTAGTTTGATAAATAAACAAATGATGATAGCTTAAATGAAGTAAATGAAGGAATGGCGGAGATGACAAAGGGAAGTAAAAATCAATGTTGTGTGACAACAGTTTTAACAATATCACAGTATCGCACCTTTTTCATTGTCATTTTCTCATTGTGCTGGAGGGCATGCTCATTTCAATAGCTCATAACGTTTCCGAAAAGCATTGGGGCTATTTGATGATCTAAAATGGACAAAAAAAAAGCAAACAAAATAATTTTGGTTGAATTGTTGAAGAATTCCCTGTGGTTCACATTAATTTATGACTTTTTTCTTTGACATTGGGCTAGTAACAAAACGGGTGAGAACTTGACTAAACTGTGCTGATAATTTATTGAGTTTCTTAAAATATTTTGTTTAGTTAGTCCACATGTTTGGTAATTGTAGGTTTTAAGATATTTTCAAAGAATATTTTTTTATTGAAAGTTTAAACACAAAAAAAGTAGCCGAATCTGGAGTGAAGAAATGTTTTTCAAAGAAATTTGAGACAGCTGAATCCATTCACAAAACAACATTAAATAAGTCTTGACGAGTAGTCATGTCGGCAAGGATCTGATTAGTGGTCGTGCAAAGCTAATAAATAGTTAAAGGCGAACAACTACATGCAACGCTGAAATTATAAAGTTTTTACTTCTGGGCCGACACGATTTGCCTTTTTCAAAGAAATGGAAGCAGCAGAATATAAAATATGAATGTGAAAATGTATCTCAATTTATCACCCTTCTGCTTAATTGTAATATTTCTTTTGGCTGTTTTAAAGATGATGTCTGAGGAGTCTTTATGAAATATGAAACACATAATATCATGAAATGTTAGAGGAATTCTATCTCTCTTTAGTCGTAATAGTATAATTCTTGGATAAATGTAGATAAATAAAAATAAATAATTGATGACATTGCTAAGAATAAACGGAGAAAAGCAATTTATGGTATGCAGTGTGCAATGAAAACAGTAAGGGAATAAAGAAATATTTCTTCGTATTTATCTATCACGCACATGTATGCAGATGTCGTCTTTTCTCTTTGAAACGATATATTGTATCAAATAACAACTTCAAGATGGAATATCGCTACCTTCCCCAATTGTACGAATTTAAAAGTCTACGAAGAAAGAGATGACTTTTGAGATGAACAGAAGGAAATCTTGGAAAGAATAAATAAGAAGAGAGATTTGTTTGAAAGGAAATTCATGTTCTCAGATTTTCTTTCAACATTAATCTGAAACGATTGAGTGACCACGCCTTCATTCTTGCCTTTTATGTTGTTACTCATTTTTTTCTTCTTTCTCTCTCTCTTTCTCTTCATTCAACACAATCAAACAATGCATTCATTAGAGCATTGGAGACTTTATGTTATGCATGATGTATGAATAGGGCAATGATTTTCATCCGCCTTTTTTTATATATTTTTTTCCCTTTTCATATCGCAATTGTAGACAGCGGAGAAAATAATAAGCTCAGCAGCAGTAAGCAAAAATGAACAAATCAATTGTGAAAAAAAAATGTGTGTGTGTATTAATTTACATGTGTTTGTCTTTTTTTTCTTGTGGTTGGCTGTTGAAATGCTGTTTTTTGTTTTCTCCATCGGTTGAATCACACGTTCAATACGTTCGAAGAAGTCTGTGAGGAAATAAAAATTTCTCTTTGATACATTTTTCAACTTCTGGATTGATCATTTAGTTTCCCGTTCATTGCCCAAAGGCTCGGCTCGGAATTGAAATTAATTGAAGATTTTTTTGCACTCAATTTGCAAGTGGACAAAAATCTTGTAAATCTGTTAATTCGTGAAAATATGATTTTGGGACTTTAAGTGAATGTTTCATGAAAGAAAATCTTAAAATCGTTATATGAGAAAGTTTCCTTCAGCACAAAAAAAGGATATTGAAAAATGATAAAAAATATGAAAAAGGAAAATTGTTCAAGGAAAATGTGTTGATGAAATCAAGAAAATAAGTGTGAAAGATAAAAGTTGTTTATCTCATATATTTAAGAAATTAAATATTTTAACAAAAAAATATCTCAACTAAAAATAGTCAATGAATAATTTCGAATGAAAATCAATCACAAGAAAAAAGTGCTTAAAAAACATATCAATAATAAAATGATAATAGGCTCACAAAAGCATTGTGCCGCCGCAAACTTAACCACATCAAATTCAAAAGGTGGTGGAACTGATTTTTCAATTGCTGCAATAATGGCTCGTGGTGGTTTAAGTCGAGAGCCTTCGGAACGCAGCATAAGTAAGTTGACAAAAAATGTTTTAGTGAATTAAGTTTTTGAAGTGAAAACCGACGGAACATGAAATTTATTCTATAAACATATCTAGGAACACAATCATAATTTATTTATGTTTCAAACGAAAAACATTTCAATGATGATAAAAAAAATATTTTAAGGTCCGTTGTCAATCGATCGATTTGCTGAAGGTGATGATGAAGTCGATGTTGATGTTGAACAGTGTAGCGATTCGGAAGCTCCTTCAAGGTCAAGAACCCCCAGAACTGCGTCAAATAATTCAAGAGCCACTCCAACTTCAGAAGATGAAAGACTAACTCCTGAACCAGTAAGTAAAGAAGAAAATTTCTTTGAAATTGCAAATAAAGTTATTAACTTAATGACTCTTTCTTTCTCTCTCGCTTTATACACACAGAGTAAACCAAAAATCGTTGGTTCGTGTAATTGTGATGATTTGAGACCAGTACAGTGTCATTTAGAAACGAAGGAGCTGTGGGATAAATTCAATGATCTGGGAACAGAAATGATCATAACAAAAACTGGCAGGTATTTATCGAATAAATTAACATTCAGTGTGAAAAATTTTATCATTAAGCTATTATTGACTACGTCGTTTATATTGAAAAGCAATTAATCATATAAAAACGTTACGCTGCTCGGCCGTCGTCATAAATATATTTACCCTTTCCGCTAGCACACTCATAACGTCATAATTAGGCAATAAAAAGCATTTTTCTCTCTGTCTACTTTTAATTTCATACCCGTAAACTTTTCTTGTGCCTTTAAATTATTTTTTATGCATAAATAGAAATAATAAAAGAGAAATAGAAACATGCATTATAACTCATGGCTATGTATGACAGAGTTTTTTAATAAATGTGAACGCCTATGATCTCGAGTTGCACAAGAGGAGAAAAAAAAGTAAAATTTTAAACTATCTAGTCATATTTTTCTTCTTTTTTATGATCAATCAATTTGAAGCAACTTAAAATAACATCAACAACAACAAAACAGCGACTCCGGAGTCCCAAAGTGTCGTAAATGTTTAGTTGTTGTAAATGAGCACACAAAACACATGTTTTTTTGTTACGACATTTATCTTCGATGAGCATGAACACAAAACAACACATTCTTACATATTTACCTTCTCTATCTGCATGTATTTCGCCCTTTTTCTTTTGAGACTTCTTTCGGCTTTTACGACCAAAAGTATCCACCAGAAAGATCGATTAGACTCGGAAAAAACTTTTTATATTATTTTATTGTTATTAAGACATCTTTAAGGTGAAGTTCTATCGATTTTATCAGAGAATTCTTTTTGCTTTTTCTTTTGTCTTTACAAGTCATTAAAACAAATGGTTGATGTATTTGGAAAATTAATTTATAAAATGTTTCGTTGAAAAGTTGAAATTTATTTTCATTTGCCAAGCGAAAATGTATTCTGAGTTATGTTCTGTAAAGCAAACATACATTTTTCATATGTACAATGTTGCAAGTTGAAATGCATAACATAATATGTACGATGGAGCACGCATGCGTGGTTGGGGAAAAAATCGAAAATTTTAATGTCTGCAAATTGAGAGCTTTGCTCCACAAATTTATTTTTTCCTTCATAGAAAATTGTCATGTTTTGAAGGTGATTAAAGCGACGAATCTTCATCATGCACGAACTTAATTTTAACCGTCTCGATGACACAAACTTATATTTCCTGAAAAATAATGAAAAGCTTAATGAGAAAATAAATGACGAAAGGGAAAAATGTTTTTACAATGAAAATATATTTCCCATCATCAAAACTAAAAAAAAAAAAGACAAACATACAGAAATAATTAAAACCCAGTTTTGATGACTTAAAAATTAACTTCACCGGTCGGTCTTTCATCGTTCATTTCTACAAGTCACATGACATAAATATTTCTCTCATTTTATTTTATTATTTTAAGTCTGAAAGCTTAGATAAATGTTTTGCTCTCAAAAATTTTGTCGTGTTGTTTTGTGAATGATGACAATAAATATTTGAGTGATTAGATTTTTGCTGAATGCGGTTAAATATCTACTCCATTTTATTCGACAATGAATGTCGTGTGTTAAATTTATTTATCAAAATTTCCTTCGAGCGAGAACTCTCAATTAAGTAATTTAAGAAACAAACTAAATATCGGCTTGTGATCCTATAATTTCGAGCTATTCATCAAAAATATGACATTTTTTCCATGCGTTTCCATCCTCTACAATTCAAATCTATTATTTACAAGCCAATCAATTAAACTACTATAGAAATTGAAAAGCGTAATGTGTGAGGTCGCTTAATTTCACCACGCTATACTTCAACCTTGTCTTTCAATTCCAAACTCACATCATTATGTTGTTTGAATAGAAATGAAAATTCAATGTTAGAAAAACTTAAATTGTTTCATATCTTCGAATAAATACCTAAATAAGAAATATTTTTTGAGGTGAACACCTTATTTATCTATGAGAGTTCAAATGAGACGACAGAAAAAGAAAAGAATAAGAAATTCTGCTGGAGAATGTTCTGAAGTTAAAGAAACGTATCACATGAGCACCTTTCAGCGGGGAGCCCCCTAAATAATAAAATATTTTTATTGCCATTTACTCATTTTCGTGTGGTCATAACTTTTCTAACAAGTCATCAACACACCTTAAGTCAACCCCGCTGTTGAACGGAAATAATGAATTTCAACTTTGTTAGCTCATGATAATTCATAACTTTGAATAGTAAAATAGAAAAGAAAACTCATGATTAAAGTTTTAGTTCATTGAAAACTTATTTAATCGTCTCCAAAATTAAAAAAGTGAGTTAATTTATTCAGATTATCTATCAGTTCCAGCCACCTGCTTTTCCTTTAACTCACTCACTCACTTGATGATGATGTTTTGAGTTGAAAAGTAAATGTGTTGGTCAAATGTTGTCAATAAAAATGTTGTTCTCGTTATCATTAAAAGCCAATTTGAGAGAGATAAAACTCTCAACCAATTCGGTGCCTAATTTCAATGTGTTGAATCTTGTATTTTTCAATTTATTGACTTTAAAAGTTTCTTAATCCCATTCCTATATCAAATATGTAAATTTATGATTAAAAACGATCGACCCATATCATCACCGTAAGATGTTTCAACGACTTAAACTCTTGTTTGATTTTAACATGGCTTTTAAATTTAAAGATCTATTTTTTGTCTAAGAGAAACAATAAAGTGTCAAATTATAAACTTCCATCGTTTGGAAGTTTTGTATTCATGAATTTTTATTTAACTGCTGTTATAGTTGATTGAGTTATTTAATTATTTCTGAGTCAAAATGGATAGAAAGTGGCATTTGAATATACATCAAACATTCCACAACTAGTCATAAATAATAGATTTATGATAGACAAAACTGAAAAGAATCTGAAGAAAAAAAGAAGAGGAAAATAAATTGAAACGCGTTTTAGTTTCCACCATGATGTAACACGAACGAAGACAAACATTCTGAGAATTTAGTTTATGCTTCAAAGTTGGTAATTGAGTCATGAGAAAGTTGATTGGATGTCACGAAAACAATTATCCAACTTAATTAATTTTTCATCAATCAGATTTGTTGGAATCTTTTTCAAAGGTGGAATGAGTGAAAATTTCTTTCGTAACTTGTAGATTGAGGCGGTTTCAACAATTACTTCAACAGTGACATCAATAACTAAAATCAAACTACGCCCCAACTATTTTCAATTGAAATTAAAGTTTAATAGAATTTTGACCGCTGATTAGGTTTACAAGTTGGGTTCAAATACTGACGACAAAGCACTTCTAAATGAAATGCTGTAAAAATTTCTATCATACAACAAGAAGCACATTTAATCTCTTAAAATTCCTTTCTGACTCTTTTATTTATCTTAACAATTTCCCATAACCATTCACATGAATCGTTAACTGCACTTGAGACAATTTAACGAGACATTTGTCCTAATAAAAAAATCGCTTGGATATTTCTTGGCTTTTATTTAATGATCCATCCTCCTGAATTTTTATTCCATTTGGGGCTAAAGTAAGAATAAATTCAAATCATTTCTTGCGCTTCTGTTATGACCAACAGAACAGCTTAAATAAAAAGAAAAAAAGCGAAGAAAAATAAAAAATGAATTATATCGTTAACACGAAAAGTTATAATGCTTCGTCGAAAATGAATTAAGGTGTGATTTATTTTATATTTTGGACTTCTTACGTCTGCAACTTGCATGTTTGTATTCATTCTCTCGTATTTTGAGCAGCACATTTGTTTATTATCATTTTTATTTTATTTATATAAATATATTGCAAGCTGCGCTGCAAATCTTTCTGTTTAACGACTCCGAATGTGATTCATGATTTGTGCAAATGCGACGAAATTTAAGAAATAAAAATGCTATGGAGAAATGTGATATTCGACTAAACCGATCATTGATCATATACAATGCTAATTCATATATTTTTATGTGAATACTAAAAAATTCAACGTGCCGTCAAGACTGGTTTCACCACGATTTGATTTCTTTTTATCTTGTTTGTTCATCCTTTTCACATTTTATCACAACTGATCATCTCATATTTTATTGATTAAAATTATGTGTTAAAAAAATTATGACGTTTATGATACCTTGACTGGTATTTATTGTCATTAAATAATCCCATATTATGGTTCACTGTTAATTTAATCCGAAGCCTTTAACCAATATTTTGATTTTCAAAGCTTTGAAAGAAACTTTTTTCTCTCTCTCTCGCTCTCTCTCTTCCAACTCCCTCGAAGAACATCCACGCTTGATGAAATAAATTCACATTTCTTTTTATCGTAACGAGCGAGAGAACATTATAACAATTTTAATTATGTTGTTTCCATTCATGGAAGTATTTTTACTGCAACAAATTATTTTTATGTGGATTAACATAAATTTGATATTGAATATTATTTTATTTTGGACTTTTCTGGCGTCTGGTTATTAAAGCAACTGCTGACATGACGACTTTTCGCGCCTTCTGATGATGATATAAGTCATAATGTTTATGAGTCAAAATTGAAAGTAATATGAAGTAATGGCCGAGATATTTCTACACCACTGCGTTAATACGTTGGTACATCTGCTTGTGAAAAGAATTTTAAGTGACCTTATTTGTTTGACCGTTGATTTTCTAACTAAGTAACTTATTTCCTTAACTAATCATCATTTTATTCATGATGACTCTTCATTCGCTCTTTTTTTATTTTTGCAAGATTAATTTTGTCTTCTTTTGCTTTATTTTTATCAACAATAAATCTTCACTACCGGACATCATTACATTAAAAATGCAAGCGGAAATTAGCTGCTAACTCATCACTCGTTTTAAGCTTTTTTCTTCTACACTTAACGTTCTTAATTTTTTTTCTTCTCTTTTTTGCTTTTTGTTTTTACATTTCCTCAAGTCAACGGCTTGGAAAGTAACGTTCTGTTGATTTATGAGTGAAAGGTTTTCTCATCAATTTTAATTTCAATTTTCCCGTCATTACGATTTACCAGAGACATAAAAGAAAGAATAAATTCTTCTTTTTATAATCGATCCTTCATGACCATGAAAATGGAGAAGAGTTAAACACCTTGCGAGTAAATACTTCCTTGTTGAATGTTCCCAAAATATCGATTTTATTATCATATTATCGGTGTTTATAATGTTTCCAAGACGTCTTAAAGAAAACTTGAACTTTAAGTTTTAATATTTGAACTTAATGGCAATTATTCTTCTCTTTTTGTTGCAGGCGAATGTTTCCAACAGTTCGTGTGTCATTTTCGGGTCCATTACGTGGTCAGTCATCTGATCGATATGCTGTTTTGTTGGATATTGTGGCTGTTGATTCGCGTCGTTATCGTTACGCATATCATCGTTCATCATGGCTTGTAGCTGGGAAAGCTGACCCACCACCACCTGCAAGACTGTATTCTCATCCCGACACTCCAGTTGGAGCTGACGCTCTTCGGAAGCAAGTGATATCATTCGAGAAAGTTAAACTTACAAATAACGAAATGGATAAGAATGGACAGGTTTGTTAACTTGAAACGACGTGATATTGAAAATATTCATTAAAACTTACATCATTTCAGATCGTTCTTAATTCAATGCATAGATATCAACCACGTATTCATTTGGTGCGTTTGACGCCTGGTCAAAACATTCCCGTTACGCCAAAGGAGCTTGCCGAACTCGATCACAAAACTTACGTGTTTCCCGAGACCATCTTCACCGCTGTAACTGCGTATCAGAATCAATTAATAACTAAGCTGAAAATCGATTCGAATCCATTTGCAAAGGGATTCAGAGATTCATCAAGGTTAACAGATTTCGATAGGTAAACAAAAGATTTTCTTTTTGAAAGATTATTCAAGCTCGTCATCTTTTATAAAGCATTTAAATTTATCTTTATTCCTATTCATTAATTTGTATGATTCGTTGGTCGTAAAATTTTCATTTATTTAAAAAAGGCAGGAAAATTCATAACTAACCAACGAAAGATTAAAGATCAAAGAAAAGAACAAAAAAAGAATTTGCTTTTAAATAATCTCAAACGGATACATAAGCTAACAAATGTTTCTTGGTGAAAACTCTATAAATTTTCTATTATCTTCTCAACATGTTTCTAGTATGACGTTTTTTGATATTCAGAATGACATCGAAATGATGATGAATCCCAATCGAAGGTCAGTTTTTATACAATGAAAAAGAAATGACCAAAATCTTTCTAAATATAACAAAAGTCTTAACTCTTTAAACAATGGGGGTTTCAACATTTATTATTAGATAACTGAAGGTTTTTTTTTGATGTTTTCTCACTCAGAGATCCAATGGACTCACTTTTATTGGAACAACATCTTCGAGCCCCGCTGAGACTCTTTCCGGATCCCATGATGGCTCAATTTATGCCTCAAGACACAGATGGTGCTTCAGCGGCGTTACTTGAAAAAGCTCGACAACATTTGCAAATGTGGGGACGATCACCCTATACGGAACTTCTTCTACCACAAATATATCAACGACCAAATATCAATGCAGCTCTAAACTTGGGACTTTGGCAGGGACAATGGTCACCACATTTATCAGCTGCTGCTGGCTTTCTTAACAATCAAGCTGCACTTCAACAGGCGGCTGCTGCATCTCAACAACAACAACAACAAATTAAATGTACGTCACCCCCACCAGGACCGATTTCGACACCAACAAGTTCGGGATCACCATCGCCTGATATTCGTGCGAAGCAATTTTCACAACGATTCAGTCCTTATCAATTATCACCCGCGCCTCATACACAAACTACAAGTCAACCGTTTACTATGACTGTTTCGAAGCCTCATCAAATGCCTACGTCACCTCAATCTCCGCATCATCGTCGTTCACCTTCAAATTGATAAGAGAAAGAAAACATCGAGTGATGTCACACATTTGATGTCCAAAGATTGTAATGCATTTTCTGAAAGTACTAAGCTAAATATTGAGATATGTTTAAGAGTAGTGAATTTAAAAAGGGAAGAAGAATATTGAATTAAATTTTCAAATACTTATCAGTATTATCAGTTTTATTTTTATTTTTTTAACTAAAGTATGAACGCTTTCGATGTTATATGTGAAGTGAAAACATTTAAATTAGAAAATTAAAATCTTTTTCGTTTTTTGTTTCATCAATTTTATTAGTTGATCAATATTGAGCATCATGTTGTTGCATAAATCTTATGTATTGTGAAAATATTATCAAAAAGTTTTTGATTTAATTTTCCATTAAATTTCGAACATTTCCGGTCCAGTTTTGGAGATGAAAAGAACATGAAAATGGAAAATTTAGTCTACTTCCTTATAGTTTCTTAAAACTTGTTTAATTATCAAATATATGTTGAAAGCATATCACTTCTTAAATATTTATGTTTCTATGTTTTCTTATTAATGTAGAAAAGTAAAATAAAGAAAATTTTATTTTAGAATGAAAGACTTTCGATATGTTGTCTGTCTAGTTGCTTATTAATTGCAACAAAGGATCATTGATTCATGCACATTTCGAATTGTTTAAAGCTAATTGATATGAAATAAAGATAATAGTCGAATGTTCAGTCAAAAGGAAAACGAAAAAGAAATCTTAAAGAACTGAAGCTTTTATGACGATATCGATTTGTGCTACGAATCCAAAAATAAAAAAATTTGTAAAACAAGAAAAGAACAATAAAAAGAATTAATTTATTAAAGCATCTTAATTTGGATTTTTTTTAAATTTTTTTATTACTATTATTCAAGTTGTTGTTTCGAAACAATGGCAAAGTTATATTTTTAATTAAAAATTACTTAAAATGGTGAAAAACGTAAAAAACTATTAAAAATTCATTTTCGAGGTACTAAAGGAATATTTTCTTCTTTAACTCCTTTTCCATTTGTGTTGTTGTTATTGATATTAAAATTACCATTGATTTCGATAGTGATATCATCGTCGTCTCGATCTTCAAATGATGATCCCATGTGAAATATTGGCTTAACAAATAATGATGATTGTCGTGCTGTTAAAATGAAGAAAATGAAATGAAAAAGAAATCGTCGAAAAGCTTTTCTAACTCACATAAAGAATTTTGTCCAACTCTTTCATTGACAACATCAAGCGAAACTCTTTTATTGTGCTTCTCGGCCTTCACACTTCCTTGATGCTTCAAAATTTTCTTCTTTGGTGCATTCGGTGAATTTGATCGACTCGTCGATACCGGAACTCCTTCGCAAACATATCCTTATGATTATTTTTTTTATTTGATTATCATTCAAACATCAAATGCAAGATAAGAAAGAAAATTAGTTACACGCAACGGTGATGTTTAAAATGACTTCACGTCGAAAGATCAAAATCAGTCATTTCCGACATTTTCCCCAGTCATTAATATGCGCGCACCGTACGCGAGATGATGTTAATAATGAAAGAAAAACCGTGATCATGCATGCATAAAAATACTTTGTGTAAGTAAGTAAATAGTTAAAAACATCAAATAAAATACTCTCATATTAGAATTCTTTTATTCAACGAATTTATAGTCAATAAGGTAAATAATGTCTACAATTTTTCTTTGATATATGTTATGTTATACATTTACAATCGATATTAAATATTTTATTTTATTAATAATCTTTAATCAAAACCCTTCTACGGAAGCCTCTACTAGTGTTCTTGTTCTCGTTCTTCATCTTTGATCAGCGTTAATATTCTAAATAAGTAAGCGATTGTTGTTAAACAACAGAAAAGATTCTGAACTGATTCTAAATATCCTCTTAGCTAATTACAGCAACTTCATAGCCGCATTAAAAAATACTTTTTGTTCTCTTTGTACATTGTTCTAAGTAAAACTTATCACCACATTTACAATTGAGTGTCATCGATTGACGGAGTGTAATTCGGTATATAAATAACAGTTGAACTTTGATTTGGATCATCAACTTGGTTATTATTAGAATTAAATATGTGATTAGAATTGTTATTATCAAATGTTATACAATTTCGCGAATGAGTCGGTGACCCAAGCTCCTCAGAAATAGGCGCCAAAGAATATTGTTGAATAACGAGCTCACCTGTTGGACTTGGTCGTTCGCTAATCGCAACATCTTCAAATGCATCTTCGTTAAGTGTTTGAAGTGCTCCACAAATCATTTGTTCTTCAAGTGTCACCTATTAGAGTTAAATTAAATTTCTCAATATTTATTTTCATTTTCACTTGATTAACATTATTAAGAAATAAATTGATTTGAACATGCACTCGTTTAAATTATAACACATTACCTGAAGGAAATCATTATCGTAAAGATTTCTCTGTTGAGTATGCAGCGTGAATTTAATGATATCAAGTTTTTATTAGTTTGTGCAAATAGAATGAGGCAAGTGTTTTATTTTATGAATTTTATTAAATATTATAATTAGCGTGTGTGAAATAAGTTTCTGGTTATCAATTGAAATCAATGTTGAATTCTTTTTTCATTTGTCAGGAAATAATTTGACGAAAATTTCCTAACGAAAATTTTGAAGAAAAATTCAAAAAACCTGATCTTAACGAAAAAAATGTGTCTTGGATAATTTACAAAAGTGTTAGAAAAGCTCGTTTGGTCAGTAAATTTGAAAAATTTCTTTTCGTGACATTTGAACTCTCTGACACTAAACTTCACTTTAAAACGAAACTTTATAATTCTTTTTGTTTACCTGCTTTTCTATAACGCTTTTTTGCTTCAATCGGCTGAGTGGCGGTGGGTGCTGTTGTTGCTGCTGCTGCTGTTGTTGTCCACTATTGCTGGGACCATCAACTGTTGTTTCGTGCTTATCATGCGCAGAATTCTTTGCTTTATTTTCAATGTCTCTTAAACTCAAAACGAGAAGTTTAAAAATTTGCCAATTACCAAAGTTTAAGTTTAAAACAGATTTCAATTCATTAAGTTCACAATAAAGCAATACTCGGCCAGTTATAGCATTTTCTCTTAAAATTGGTGCAAGTTTCTCAATTGCGCCTTTAAGTTCATTCACTTGTCCGAGTAAACCGATAAAATCCTCACAATCCATTTTAGACAGTCTCGTTTGTGACAAATCCTTTAAAATAAAATAATGAATTGTTAAATAGTTTAGAAAAGGGAAAAATACCGAAACTCACAATGTCAATTGGAAATTGCTTTTCCTCCTGCTGATTTACTTTAACTTCTTGTTCAGCAATTGAATTTATCTGATTTTGCGGTGTAGTATAAAAATTCATTAAACCAAGTGGTGAATTTCCAACGGCTGTCGGATAAATTGGCATTGGCATTGTAATAGTTCGTGGAAAATTCGGAATTGATTGATAAAAGTTATTTCGTCCAAAGGAATTATTCAAATTATTCATCACGTTTGGAGTTATGGAAGGTGCATTTGGTTTCATTGGAACCACAATTCCTTCATCTTCGATTGTTTGTTGATCCTCCTTCAAAACTTTTCTCAAATAAGGATCGAGATTGATGGTAAAAGGTAGAAAAATTCTCAAATCACAAACCAACAAATCAGTTTTGTGAAGTTGAAGAAAAGCATCCAATTTACGTTCGTCTCGATCTAAATCCAACAAAGGAGCTGCTTCTCTTAAGCATGAAAGTTTCGGACGAACTCTGTAAGAATATCAGAAGATAAATTAAAGTTTTCTTCCACAATTTTCCTTTAAACTTACTTTTCATACAACGATTGTAGTGAAACAGACTCTTCTAAACTCTCACCAGATCGATCATGTTCTAAAACAATCATTGAAGCTCTCAATGGCCATTGTTCTGTTAAATTAACCCATGAACTTAATCGATACCAACTAAAGTCGATTTGAAATGCTTTAAGTAGTCGAACAGTGATGTAAATTACGTTCATTAAGCGTCGCATGCTTCTCGGATTCACCTGAATAAATGATAATGTTAGTTTAACTAAAGACATGAAAAAATGACGTCAACTTACATCACTAAAGTAATCATCAGTTAACATAACTTTTGAAAACTCAAATTGACCGCCACCAAGTTTATGAATGTTGCTTCCAATCGAACTTGCAATCGATTCAGAAAGTTTAAGCTTCTTTGATCCTCTTGATGGGGGCGGTGCACGAAGTTTCTCATTACTTGACATAATTTCAGAAGCATTCGAAAGTCTTCTATTTGATGCTGAATATCCAATGCTGCCACCAGTATTACCACCAGACGGTTCCAACTCAAACTGATGTTCCGGAAAACTTCTTTTATAAGCCATCGCCGTGTTTTGTGCTCGTTGAACTTTCCTAAGTCCAGAATTTTGCAAGTAAACTGGAAGATGAACCAAATTACGTAAGAAATCATGACCACCAATTCCACCTTCAGTAAAAAGTCTTTTGCTGTTCGCTTCAGCTGCTTTTGCAATCACATGTGGATCAACAGCAATCAACAACACAAATGGACGATTTGGTGTCATTAAAAGTGTTTGAATTGCATTCAACACACTTAAAGTTCTTTCAGTGTCGCATGAATCCAATGTGTCAATGACACCAACAAGACGACTTTGTTGTCCAGTAAAAGCATCCAAACACTTCACCATATCAGAAAGCATCAAAACTTCAGCACCCAAAGCAGTTAAACCTTCATTCGATTTCATGATCTTCTTTAAGTATCGCGCTTGAGAGAAGAAAATCGTGTGAGAAACTTTCATAAAAGCATTGACATTCATAAATGCTCCAGCAATTAAGACACCGCCTAATACATAAACTGCTATTTCGAGTGTCTTTTGTGAATCTTCTCCCTTCTCTGACAATAATAAGAACAACAATGTGAAGCCAGCAATGGCAGCAAAAATGAAGATTTCAAATAACAGAAACAATGGCAAGCAACACATTTTCCTCAACTTCCAATTCGATGATGGCTTAAGTGGTTTCGGTTTAAAAGCTCGATAAAGGCGAGTTGGAATTGAACCGTAATGATTTTCAATTGCTGTGAAAAGTGATGCAATCATGTATCCAATCGCATATTCACCACTTGGTGCTGCACTATTCGTCTCAGCGAAATGAAAATGAACCGGCTTTGTCTGAAGATTTGATTGTTGGGAATAGTTTGGGCCTGGTGGATGACAAAAAGCAACTTGAAGTATTAAACGAAACTTCCCAAACTTCTTATGCATTGAATGTTGTAAGCTGTATGACCAATCAGAGTTGTAACGTCTGCTGAAGAATTTTATTGTTAACGACACAGCGTAGATGACGATAAGAAGTGAACCAGCAGCTACTGAAGCCCAAAGGAATGAATTTGTCGATACACCAACAATCACGCCTAAAAATACCGCCAAATGAATTGCAATCAACACAGCCAGCCAATAAACTTTAACTCGTGATTCGTTTGACCAAAAACTTGACATTTCTTCACGAAGCTTTCCAAGAAGAAAACTTTTTCCACTTCCCCATTTAGCAAATAATCCAACAGAAATTGGCGTTGTTAGTGTTGGCTCTGAAAGCACGTCGGCTAAGGCTGAAGAATAAAGTTCGTATCCTAGCATTCCTTCAGAATCTTCATTTGTGTTTAATTTCCTTGCACCAAAAACTTGTCCAAGAATTGTTTTCTGATGTAATGCGTCAAGTGCGTAAGGAGTCTCACCAGCTTTATTTGCACGATATAATAATTGACTGTTCTTCGGATTCCTCAACAAAGCTTCGACAATTCCTTTCGAACGTGCACGCATTGCAATGTGCAGGCATGTGTCACCACGACGATCAACTGCACCAACTTTCGCTTTCTTTTCCAATAGCATTTGAACGATTTCAAGATTTCGATTTCGAACAGCGCGATTTAAAGGCGTTTCACCATCCTTCGTTGAAAGTTCAACGTCGGGATTTGCAGCAAGAAGAATCTTTACAATCGAAGCATGTCCTTTCTCAACTGCCATGTAAAGCGCTGTTTTCTTATCTTTTCCTTGCAAATCAATGTCAGCATGTCGTTTAAGAAGCGCTTCAACTATTCCACGATGACCTCCCTTCACTGCATTCATCAACGGCGTGTCGCCATTTCGATCTTGACTGTTGAGATAAGCTCCAGCTGCAATTAATGACGATGCAATTTCTTGAAAGCCTTCTTTGCATGCGATTGAAAGTGCGGTTGATCCATCTTTATCCAAACTATTGACATTTGGCTTACGTTCTAAAATCATAGCTACAACTTCTTGATGTCCACCAGCTGCAGCCTGAGATTAGTTTTATTTAAAATTTAATTTTAATTCTTCAATTATAACTTACGACAAGAAGTGGCGTCCAAGAATACATTCCAGCAGTGTCAACATTAGCACCAGCTTTCAAAAGCATGTCAACAATCTCAGCGTTTCCTTTCCGACATGCCCACACTAAAGCTGTTGTTCCATATTTATCACCAACATTTACTTTTGCTCCATGTTCAATAAGCATTTGAACGATTTCCGTGTAACCACGACCGCAAGTCCAAATCAATGGTGACAGATGATAATTGCCATTTACGTGGATGTCAGCATTATTGTCGAGAAGGAAAGAGACAATGTTTGTATGGCCTTTGTAGCATGCCCAACAGATTGCCGTCCAATTTCCCTTTTTCATTTATTTTCAATTTCAATTTTAATTGCAAAAATATTTTAATTTATTTTCTCACCATTTCCTTGTGTTCTATGTCAGCTCCGTTTTCAACGAGATTCTCCACAACTTCCAAATGTCCAGCTTTTGTGGCACAAATCAATGCTGTCCAATTATCGTTGTCTTCTGCATTAACTTCAGCTCCATGACTTAGCAATTCGCGAACAAAAGGTGTGAGGCCCTTCGACGATGCTATCATTAAAGCGGTCGTTCCATTATCGTCACGTTCATCTGCTTGTATTTGCCGCGAATCAAGGAAATTCTTCAAACCACCGAGATCTTCATTTTCGATGAATGTTAATATTGTTCGATGTCCCAGAGATCCCATTGATTCAACACGATTCAAACCCTGCGTTAATAATCCAAAATGGGTTAAAATTTCTCCCATCAAATGCAATTTAAAAAATTTTTCTAGCAATAAATCTAAGCACGAAGATTTATTAGATTGCAAAAACATTTTGTCATATTAGAGTTTTAATAAACATTAGAAGCAAAGATCTTGCACAAAAGTCATTTACTGATTAACTTCCTTGTTCATCTATTCTAAGAACAATAAACAAACAATTCAGAAATGCCCATGAATCATAACATCAGATGATCTTTTGTCATTGTTTTATTGTCATTTCAAAGTGCATTTGACCGATTGTTTTTAATCTTAAGCTTTCTTATCTATCTCAGCATGAAACACTTATCAACAATTATTTATGAGGTTACTTATGTAAATGCACAAACTTGAAAGCAAACAAGAGCCTTTCTTGTGTTTTAAAATAGATTCATGAATATTTTTGACACCCACGCAAATGTACACAAAAACTAATTATTTGTTTACTAACTTTAGGAAACTTTTTTGCTTCCAACTTCTTGGAAAATTTTAATTGAGAAACGTTTAAAATTAATTCACTCATCATATTTGTCGAACGCATGTTTTTGTTTCTACTTTTACTAATAAATTAATTAAAATTCATAAATTCATCAACAAGAATATAATTACAAGTAGTCACAATGCGTCCATTTAGTTTAAAAGGCAAATTGAAACTGTCATAATAATTGAAATTGAATTTGCTGAATGCACTCAACGTTGCAAATGTGTGGAGGAGGTAAAAGCAATTCATTTTGTCATTTATTTTTCCCCAACTTATTCCTGAACTAGATAAGTGTTATCGATTTAACTCGACACTTCCAACAGCAACAGCAAAGTTAACTGCAGTTTGTTTCTTTTTTCAACTTTCCATTTCATATGCGAAACCTTTCCAATTATTCGACAGTTGATGAACAATGTAGCGTTGATTGTCTCGTGTAATCTTTCTCTATGATTATTAAGAATTTACCATTTATTTACAGAAGATTGTTAGCTTTTAATTGAGCGATAAAAATGCTTCACATTACAAGGCTTTCGACAGTTACCCTTCATTCAATCATTCATAATGAATGTCGCAGAGCGGAATAAGATTTTTTTTTCTGTTGTTAATAAAGCATCAATTAAGTCACTGCAAAAGCGTTGATAACAAAACTGTTATCAAGAGTTAATTCAGTCGATATGAAAAGTAATTTGAGTTAAATATGGCTTATTTTCTGTAAACGCCATCCAAAGATATTTATAAAAAACGAAGTCATTTAAAAGAAAAATTAAATTGCGATGACATCGTTCAATTATTTAATGTTAATTGAAGCTTGTCTTAAGGGAATTAAAGAGACACATTAGCCAACACTTTAATAACGAATCGTGAATGTATAACAATCTAACCGAGCCATGAGAATGTCGTCGGAAGTTTCCAAAGCTAAATTTTCTATTTTCCATGTTTTCCGGCGATTCCGGTGATGTCGGTGCGGTGACCATCAAAGTAGGAATCTTAAAGGTGTTTTCAAAATATGTTTTCTTTTTATGTGGCTTTTCAACCACGAGAATTGGTAAGGAATGATCATCATTTGGCACTTCTTCGTCAGTACGTGGGCGCGAAACATTTTTGTCAGGTGCATGAAGTTGTCGGACTAAAGCTTGAATGCTTTCATATTGATGATTTTTCTCCATTACAAAGAGAACACAAACTTATTTTATTTCTTTTTACGTAAGGAGAAAATAATTAAAGAAAGGAATTCAGTGGCAGTGTGATAAACGACTAATAAATTAAATAGTTATAAATTAAGTGTTGATCTTGAATACGAAAGCAGATAACTTGATAAACCTCGACACTATTAACCAACATTCAAAATAAATCTTAAAATAATCTCTCAACGCTTTACCTCATTATCTCGTGATAATTTTTTAGAAATTTTGCGAACCATTCCAATCGCGTAATAAATTCGTTTATTGAACAACCATCTTTGTCGACCACATTCGTGTAACTGAATTAAATTATTCAATACAACTACGAATCTATAAAAGTTCTCTCATAGATTTCGTGTTGGTAAATACTAAAACGCTTTTTATTTCTATCATAAAATTTCAAGATAAGAACTTTTATCTCTATGAATGCTTTCTAAGGAGTTCAATATTGAGTAAAAGCTTAATGATTTCAATATATTAATCCTCAATATGATAACTTGATGAGAAATTATGAAGAAATTGTCTAGACAAATTTTCTTTTACACAACTCTCAACTAAACATTTTAAATCTGTGATTTCATTTTTGATTTCGATTAGATAATTCAACTCTGATAACATCTCTCATGATTTTAAGTTTTACCTGAACACTTTTGAATGATAATCGAGTTTTAACAAATTTAAGGAAAGGTTGAAAACTTCCATATGAACGAATTTGATTTTCACTATTTGAACATGAAGGTTGATCACTTTGTAAATTTAAAGGCGATGACTCCGATAAATCTGTTACAGGTGAATTAATTATTCGTTTTACTTTCTCAATCATTTTTAACAAGACAAATCAATAGAATGCACCACTTCGATTTAAATAAAACCGATTTCATGTAAATTGATTGAAATAGAAGTTCATCACGATCATAAAATGATTTTTGTTCAAAATATATTGAAATTGGTGCAACTTGATGCAAGCAATGAAAGATTGTTATTGGAACTAAGAGTTTTTCTTTTTGTTTCTTTCCGATAACGAAAATTACTAAAAAGATAATCAATATTGATAAAACCAAACATTTGTTTTTATTTTACTCTTCGTCATTAAATGTTTTTGTCCTTTCACAAACTCGTTTGTTTTGTACACGCTGCAAAATCTTTTTTGCTTTTGAGGATTTACTGGAAAAGTCACGATTACAATCTTGGAGTAATTGGGTCAGTATAAAATTCTTTCCATAGTCAATCAATTGGAAGTATTAGAAGTTTTTAGGATTCTAACACAAAGTGAATAAAATTCAATCTCAAACAACATAAAGAGTGAGAAAGAGTTGTAGGGGAGAGAGAAAAAGAAAACTTACATAATTTATAAAGTATGTGTAATTCATTAAGAACAGCTGAGAAAGTTGAATAATCCTAACAATAAAGTTTTGTAATTGTGTACTCACCAATTAATGTAGGTATTAAAGTTATAATTTTCATCAAATGATTCTCAATTTTTTTCTCTGAATTAGTTTCTTTTCTGTTGGAAGCTTTTCGTAATAACTTTTTTGTTTATTTTAAGATTAAGTCAATATAAGTGTTGTTAAGAAGCATTTATGTATATTTTTAAGCACTTGTTTTTGTTCTAAGTACAGAAATTAAAAAAAAAATATTGAGAAAATCAAATAATCTTAATTTTACACAATCATAACATTGGATTCTTACATACCCCGCGACGATATGATGTTTTGTAAATAAACTCATAATTTGAGTTAATTAGATAATTCTATTATACATCGGATATAAAAACATGTTCCGTAATTATATTGGCACAATTTGAGTACACGATTTCCTTAAATCAAGCTAAATTTATAAAGAAACTTTGTAAATTTAGTTTTGTACAATATGTTTCATATGGCAATTCTTCTATCAAGAAAATTTGCATTGGGCAATTCAATGATCAGCTGTTTTTGTTTATAAACAAATTTATTTCCATTTATTGAATGTCAAATTTTTAACTTAAAATCTTGTGAAATTTAGAATTTTATCATTGGATATTATTGATATTGATGCAAGTTATATCTAGTTTAAAGAAATATTAAAGAAAAGTGAACCTGTTAAATTTAATATTTCTATTTTTATTTGACTTTTAACCGGAATAATTTAGAGTGTTGCCAGATTGAATCGTATTTAAGGTCGCTTAGAGGACTTTCATAATTTATTATTCCCTTCAGGAAAGTAGAAAGTTTTAAGAAGTTGTCCACTTTTTATTATTTGTAAGTATAAATTATCCAAGAACAACACTTTTACGTAAATTTCGAACATGGAAGTAATAAATTCTGGAGAAAGTAAATAAATTACGTGCAAACGAACGAAAAGATTGTCTCATAATTTCAAATGAGATTAAACCTTATCAATTGCTTCATTTTTATTTTAAATCAAAGAGAATGGAAGAGAGAAAAGCTATTGTGTTAAAGAAGCCGGCAAATTAACTCAGTTTATGTGTGTGATTAAACAGTCAAAGTCATAAAATTATTTGTGAAAGCCACGAAAACAAAAATAACTAAAAAATGGACAAGCCAAGAACAACTTTTCAAAAGATAATTTTTTGTTTGAGACATATAAAAAGAATATTCAGAAATGCAATTTGCTCGCTTCTTTGTCAAGTAAAAATAATTTCTACTCTTTTTTTCACACTTCGTACCTAACTCGCGTGATGATTTAACTCTCGCCATTATTTCTCGTTTCGGTTTCATAAAAAAAAACATAAAATACGAACTGAAAGAAAAAATCTTTATAATGCTTCAGTAACTGATTTGCATGTTATTTTGCATCGTTCATTCGAAGTGAAAAGTGAAGCGAGATCAAGCAATAATTTCAGTTTTATCAAGTTAATATTGTGGCGACAACGACTGACGTGGTGAAGGGTCAAGTCGCGATTATTAATCAGAATATTTCAAGCACGTTGCTAAAGTCAAAACTCTTTTTATTCTTTTTTAATCCTTTTAGAGAAGCAAAGAAATGAGTTCAGAAGGAAAAACTGTCAGTGTTACTATCAATTATCAAGCTTTTGAAGACAGCAAACTCTATCGACTTAAAAAGTCAACAATTCTTCATGTTGTTCCAGGCGAATCATTGCTAGGAAAGCGAATTTCAATTCAAACGAATTATCCTTCAAAAGGAAATGATTTTGTTCGAACGAAATTCGTCGGTTTGGAATGGTTTTCACGTTATGGCGAAAAAGTTTCCAACGATGACAATTTCGCCGAAATCAGAGATTTGGAGATGTATTGTCATGTGACGATGTTGCATTCAGGAACATTTAAATTTAATATTCTTGAAGAAGATAAGTAAGTGATTCAAAAACATCTTAAAACATTTATTTGTTTATCTTCAATTCTTCCAGAAAATCAGACGGCCCTTGTGGATCGATTTATTGTCAAGTTGAACCCGACATTTACATTGGACGTGACCGTCAAATCTTAAAGCTTGAATCGATTCGTTGTCAAACAGTTTTATCGAAATGTCTTGGACCTTTGAAGACGTGGGAAGAGAAACTCCGTGTTGCTAAAGAGTCTGGGTATAACTTAATTCACTTCACTCCAGTTCAAGAGTTGGCTGGATCAAGATCAGCTTACTCGCTTGCAGATCAATTGAAAATTGACCCGGGATTTGGTAATGTCACATACGAAGACGTAGGAAAAGTTGTCAATAAGCTTCGTGATGAATGGGGAATGGCTTCAATATGTGACATCGTTTTGAATCACACTGGAAATGAATCATTGTGGTTGTTGGATCATCCCGAAGCGACTTACTCGTGCAATACTTGCCCACACCTTCGACCAGCTTTCATGCTTGACATTTTATTAGCTAAAATCGGTGAAGACGTCAACAAAGGAAATCTTGAAATGGATGGATGTCCATCAGTTGTTGATTGTGAAGATCATATTCAAGCATTACGACATCAACTGGTTACAAAATATCTTCCAATGATTAACATTCATGAATTTTATCAAATTGATGTTGAATTGTTCTTCACAAAATTCGTTGATGCTGTAAGTTGAGCATTTAATGATTTGCGTGAGTTAAAAAGTAATTTGTTTTTATTAAAATTCTATTTAGATACGTTCACAACCACCACCATCACAACAAACTAAAGAAGTGTCTCCATCTGACCTTAAATTCGTATTGAAAGATGATTATCGACGAAAAGGCGTCACAATCGATCTTGATGTTGCTTTGACAATCTTCAATGTGTTTAGAAATGATTGTTTTGATGAAGATAATCGAATCAGGAAGTGTGGAGAAGGATTTCGTAAGACGTTAGAAGATTACAACGCTCGTATGAAGTGTGAGATTGACGGGCACATGAAATGCGCTGTTGGCAATGCTTTGGCTGGTGTTCGTTATGAACGAGTTCAACATGATGGTCCACAATTTCGCACAATTGATTTTGGTCATCCACTTTTCGTTCCTTACTTCACTCACACTGGTTGTAAAGATAAATCGTTGGAAGTCATTGAAACGATGATGTATGAAGATGCTGGAAAGTTTTTCATGGGTCACAATGGTTGGATAATGGGCGGCGATCCACTCAATGATTTCGGACGACCACAATCAGGAACAGGAAATGTTTACTTAAGACGAGAATTAATTGCATGGGGTGACAGTGTCAAGTTGAGATTCGGTGACAAACCAGAAGATAATCCTTATTTATGGGCGAGAATGAAAGAATATGTCGACACAACAGCGAAATATTTCAGTGGCGTTCGTTTAGATAATTGTCATTCAACACCATTACATGTCGCTGAATATTTGATTGACAGTGCAAGAAAAGTTAATCCCGAACTTTATGTCGTTGCTGAATTGTTTACCAACTCGCCAGATGCTGACAACATTTTTGTGAATCGTTTGGGAATAACAAGTTTGATTCGAGAAGCTTTGTCAGCTTGGGATTCTCATGAAGAGGGTCGACTTGTTTACTTGTATGGTGGCGAACCAGTTGGCGCTTTCTTTAACAATCCAAATCGTCCATTAGCACCAAACATTGCACATGCAATTTTCTTCGATCAGACTCATGATAATCAATCTTACATTGAAAAGCGTTCAGTTTTTGATTTGGTTCCATCAGCGGCGCTTGTTTCCATGGCTTGTTGTGCGACGGGAAGTAATCGAGGCTTTGATGAGCTTGTTCCCCATCACATTCACGTCGTAAATGAAGAGCGACAGTATCAAGAATGGGAGAAGCAAGTGAGTGAGAAAAGTGGAATTATTGCAGCAAAACGTGCTTTGAATGACTTGCATGGATTTCTCGGCACAAAAGGATTCAATCAAGTGTTTGTTGATCAAATGAATCCCGACATTGTTGGCGTGACAAGACAAAATCCGATCACAAATGAATCATTTATTTTAATCGCACATACAGCTTTTGGATATCCACACGCGAATTCTGGTGCAACTCATGTTCGTCCTTTGATTTTTGAAGGGAAACTTGAAGAAATTTATCTTGAATGTGAGATTCGAAGTAGAAAGATTGAACCGTTTGCACGGCCAGAAGATTTTAAGAAGAATCCGACATTTATTAATGGTCTTGATGAATATGATGTGACAATTAGTAAAAACATTCAATTAAATGACTCGAGAATTTTTGATAAAACACCGAAAATCAGTGGAAACTCGACGCAACTTGATTTGGTAAATTTAAAGCCTGGATCGGTTGTTGTTGTTCGCGTGTCACCACACGATGAAGTGTCGATCAAATTGAAGAAACTCAACGAACTTATCATCAACTTGCAATCAGAAAATGGAACGAAGTTTAAAGAAATTCAATCAATCATCTCGAATCTTTCACTTGTTGATTTAAATCTTGCACTTTTCTCATGTGATCAGGAAGAACGTGATCGTGGATTTGGCTTTGAAGCTTATGACATTCCTGGGTTTAAGCGATTGGAATACGCGGGATTTCAAGGTGTGTTGAGTCTTTTATCACACATCAGTCCATCGAATGATCTCGGACATCCTTTGTGTGGTAATTTACGAAGTGGAAATTGGTTGATTGACTACATCAGTGACCGATTAAATCAAACGGATAGCACAAAGAAACTTAGTGAATGGTTGAAAGAAAATTTAGAAGCAATGAAAGGAATTCCACGTTATCTCATCCCAGCATATTTTGATGCAATCATTACTGGCGTTTATGGCTTGTTAATTCAACGTGTCTTGTCACAAATGCCAAATTACATTAGCAAAGGTTCAATCTTTCCTCAATTGTTAGCTATCAGTTCATTACAATTTTTAGCGCCAGTTAAGTCAGCGCCGTTGCCAGATTTAAGTCCTAACGTGTCTAATCCAAAGCCACCGAAATTATGCACAACATTAGCAGCTGGTTTAGAACATTTTGTGACTGGTTATATGAGATGTTGGGGTCGTGACACTTTCATTTCTTTGCGTGGTTTAATGTTAATCACTGGAAGATATGATGAAGCTCGTTACATAATTCTCGCTTTTGCTGGAACGTTACGACATGGCTTGATTCCAAATCTTCTCGATGGCGGAAAGAGTGCTCGATATAATTGCCGGGATGCTGTTTGGTGGTGGCTTTATTGCATTCAAGAATATATAACGGAAGCACCAAATGGAAAAGAAATTTTGAAAGAAAAAGTCTCACGTTTGTATCCACAAGATGATTCACCAGCTATGCCAGCTGATGGAGCTAACGATCAACTTCTTCATGACGTCATGCAGGAAGCACTCAATGTTCACTTCCAAGGTCTTGTTTTTCGCGAAAGAAATGCTGGAAAAAGAATTGACGAACATATGACTGATGTTGGATTTAACAATCAAATTGGAATTAATCCAGAAACTGGATTTGTGTTTGGTGGAAATGATGCAAATTGTGGAACATGGATGGATAAAATGGGATCGTCAGAGAAAGCGAAGACGAAAGGTATTCCAAGTTCACCTCGTGATGGTGCTGCTGTTGAACTTGTTGGTCTTCAAGCAAGTGTTTTAAGATTCTTAGAGAAATCTTCTGATTATCCTTACAAGTCGGTGGAAAGAAAAAATCCCAACAGCGATGTGAAAATTGTTTGGACATTTAAAGAGTGGGCGGAAAGAATTGAGAAGAATTTTGAGAAATTTTTCTATGTTAGTGAGAATGACACAAATCCACTCGTTCATAAGCGAACAATCTACAAAGACACGGTAAGTAATTCCACCAGTGATTCTCAAACTTTTCTCTCCTCAAAATTTACAGTTTGAGAATCTTTTCTTTTATTTATTCACAGCATGGTGCCAGCAGAAACTTTGCAGATTTTCAACTTCGTTGTAATTTTCCGATTGCTATGGTTGTTGCACCTCAGTTGTTCGACCCGAATCATGCGTGGGAGGCTTTGGAGGTTGTTAGAAAATATCTTTTGGGACCGCTTGGAATGAAGACATTGGATCCTGATGACTGGTCGTATCGTCCAAATTATGATAATTCAAATGACAGTGAAGATGGAAAAGTAGCTCATGGTTATAACTACCATCAAGGCCCTGAATGGCTTTGGCCCATTGGTTATTACTTGAGAGCTCGTCTCATCTTTGGTAAAAAGCTTGGAAAGCTCAAGGAAGTTGAAGCAGAAACCTGGAAAATTCTCACTGCCCATTTGAAAGAGCTGCGTACATCTCCATGGCGTGGTCTACCTGAGTTGACCAATGATCATGGTTCATTCTGTCACGACTCTTGTCGTACTCAAGCTTGGAGTGTTGCTACAGTTCTTGAGGTAATTAAATTAAATGAATTTTAAACTTCAAATAATTTTTTATTCGATTTAATCATCACAGATCCTCTACGACTTAGAACAACGCAAGTGAAGTCAAAATAAACGCCATAAAATGCTTAAAGCTTTTGCTTCGATGTTGATTGAATATATTTTGTTAAAAGTTCTTTAAAAACTGTTTCTTGTTAATTTCTTAAATACTCGTCATTATACTTAAATATTTACAAAGTTCACTCGAATAAAAACTTCTTTTTTGTTTTGTTTAATGAAACTTGCCGTAAAACTTGTTTGAAATTTATTTTACTCTTGAACTCTCAATATTCATCTGATATTTTGGGAACAGGTTGTCGGTTAAATTCAGAGTTTTGTAAATAAAATTCTTTACTAATTGACAACTCCTTTAATTTTTCTAATTTTTGTCAATATTCATATCAAATGAAGACACGAGTCTGGAAGAATTTATCACGATTTTTTTAATTCTTTGATAAATAGCACGTTTTAAATAAATAATATAAAGGTAAATGAACGATGGACATATTTCTGGCACGCTTTGCATTTAACATGCAAATAAAAAATGAAACGACAAAAACATTTTCAGGAAGAATTTATTTTAGTTAGCGACAGACTTTAAGAGAAACAAGTTCTAAAAAAATGTTTAACTTCCGATCGTTTGTGATTTTGTGCTTTGTTGGGATTCAAACGCAATTTGCTTCCCAAGATACGCCGTCACCACCACCACCACCACCATCATGTGAAGCAGTGGCATGTGAAGGCTCCGATAAATTTTGTGAATACAAAATCGATCCAAAAACGTGCGAATGCAAGCCTTTTGTATGCTGTTCTCCACCTTTCTGTCCCAATGGGTATGAAGTTTGCGATTCTTGTACAAATTGCAAGTGCAAAGAAGGATGCCCTGAAGAGCCATGCGACCAACCGAGTGACATCTTCTGTTCAGCAACTCGTGACCCAACAACTTGTGAATGTTTAACTTTGTGTTGTTCAGTATTTTGTCCAAATGGAATTGACTGGGACAATTGTCATTCATGCTCAGATTGTGCTTGCTTACCAGAAAAATGTCCCCGAGGCTGAAAAACTAATTTTTAAAGATTATTTTGAAGATTCACTTGTAAAATTTCTTTAGAGAATCAAAGTAATTAATAAAAAGGTAAAATTGATGACTTATAAAAATATAAATATCTATCTCTGGTACTTAATAATGAATAATGTTGACCACAAAAAGTGAATATTGAATTTTACAAGGAATTTTATATCCTTTGAAGAATAAGTTAAATTTGCTTCTCCCGTTTCTGTAAATTGCTTTCGATAGTCTTGATAACATTTCCAAATCTTTTCATGGAAGTCTCGTGTGCCTCGTTTTGAAATACCTTCCAAAATATTACTCAAAAGGTGAAATCATAAATATTGCTCGAAAGCTTGAACATTTTGATAATTTGATGAGTTGCAAAAATGTATACAATTTAATGAAAATTTGACGTCTTGCCAGAACACAGTTCATGTTTAATCCAGACAGCTGTTTTAAGTTAAAACAAAAATGAGTAAATAAGGCTGTCATTAAAGTAAATAATAATTTCTGGAAGAACTCGTGTCAGTTATCGACAGTCTCATAAAACTCAGAGAACTAAAAGGATGTTGCGATTATTCATTCTTTTGTGCGGTGTGTTAATTCAAACGCAAATTGCTTTCTCGGAATCACCACCAAGATGTGAAGCAGTGCCATGTGCTGGTCCCGATAGATTTTGTGAATACCAAATCAACCCAGAAACGTGTGATTGTGAGCCTTTTGTATGCTGTTCCATTCCTTATTGTCCAAATGGGTATGAAGTTTGCGATTCTTGTTCAAATTGTATATGCAAAGAAGGATGCCCTGAAGAACCATGTGAACAACCTGCTGATATTTTCTGCTCAGCAACTCGTGATCCAACAACTTGTGAATGTCAAACTGTTTGCTGTTCAATTTTTTGTCCAAATGGAATTGACTGGGACAACTGCACTTCATGTTCTAATTGTGCTTGCTTACCAAACAAAGTTTTGAAGTGCGAAGAAGTAATGAATGGTTAATTATTGATTTAAAAGAAAAAAAACCTCTAAAATCAAGAAAATAAAGAAAATAAAATTTTTCATCACGATTTTTTTTATGAAATGGCCTAAAATTCAAATTCCGTTTTTGCTTTTTTTTATAATTTATGTGTTAATATAAACTTTCAGGACATCATTTCAGAATCTAAGTTCTTGCTAATGCCATGCATTGCAATGCTTCAAAGTGTTGAAATGAAGTGAAAAAGGAAGCTTTGACAGTTTGCAACAATTTTAGGTTTTGTACCTAAGTTTGACGTCATTCGAGAATAGGTACTTATCTACGTAAAATGAGAATAAAAATTATATTTGATTAAGCTGTTTCAAAATTAAGTCAACATGAGCGGGAAAATAAGCAAACAAAACGAAATGGAAACAATAATTCCAGAAAAAACTCGTGTGAGCTTTAGGCAGTTTCACAAAACTGAGAGAACTAGAAGGATGTTGCGAATATTCATTTTATTGTGCGTTGTGGCAATTCAAACGAGTTTTGTGTTTTCTAAATCACCAGGACCACAAAAATGTAAAGCAAAACCATGCAAAGGATCAGATAAATTTTGTGAATACCAAATCAACCCAGAAACGTGTGAATGTGAGCCTTTTGTATGCTGTTCCATTCCTTATTGTCCCAATGGGTATAAAGTTTGCAATTCTTGTTCAAATTGCAAGTGCAAAGAAGGATGTCCCAAAGAAGAATGTGAACAACCTGCTGACATTTTCTGTTCAGCAAGTCGCGATCCAACAACTTGTGAATGTCAAACTGTTTGCTGTTCAATTTTTTGTCCAAATGGAATTGACTGGGATAACTGCACTTCATGTTCTAATTGTGCTTGCTTACCAATCTAAGCTTTGATTGAAAATTGAATGCAAGATCATTGAAGAAAAATTTAATAAAGAAGATTTTTTCTACAGAAAAATCAAAGTTTTTTCATAAAAAATTAAATTTTCAATAAAATGAAACCGGAAATTAAAAGCATTTCAGACTTATTTTTTAATTTTTCAAAGATATTTTTAAAAGCTTTCAAAGCTTTGAAAAAAGCTTTTTTGTTTCTCTCTTTGGGTAACAGAGGTCGCTAGAAACATAAAAAGTAAACAACTTAAGTAGGGAGATTTTGTTTACCTTCAGGTGATCTTGTTTTACAACCTGCATAACAACGATTAATAAAAGTTATTAAATAAAAGTTGTAATGACGACAACACCGATTGTAACAATTACCAGAAAGGAGTCATTTTCATCTGCTCATCGGCTCCATAGGTGAGTAAAAATCAAAATGCGAATCATGAAATATTTTGTTCTCAATTTTGTTCAGTAAATCGTTGTCGGATGAAGAAAATCGTAATATATTTGGAAAGTGCAATAGTTTGAATGGCCATGGTCATAATTATACGGGTACGTTAGTTTCTTTTACTTATAAATAAAGAAAAAAAAACCATTGAAATTGTTTTTGTTTAGCTGAAGTTTCTGTTCGAGGACCGATCGACAGAGAAAATGGAATGGTAATGAATCTCACAGAGCTGAAGCAACTAATGAATGATTGCATTATGACCACAATGGATCATAAAAACATTGACATGGATGTTCCATATTTTAAAACCATTCCATCAACAGCAGAAAATATCGCGGTATTCATCTGGGATTCTTTGTCAGCTCGACTTCCGAAGCCAGAACTACTGTTTGAAGTGAAACTATGGGAGACTGATAAGAATTATGTTACGTATCGAGGAAAGAAAACCGAAGTTCGTTCTGATCGAAGATCAGGGAAAAACATTTGCGGTTCAATGTCTTCAGATTCTGAATAAAAAAAAGAAATAAAATAAGCTTATTTTGTAATTTTTTTATTGTTCTCACTTCCTCATTCTAAAAGTCGTGAATTCGTTTCCAAAAGAATAAATTTTTATTTATTTTGTTTCTCTATTCATCTACAGCAAAAGTTTTTTTCAATTTTTAAGCGTTTTTCTTTTCGTCTAATTGCATCTAATAAATTCATTGTACTCTTTGATTTCTTGTGTCTTTCGAAATTATAAAGCAACTGGTGATAAGGAATAGCACTATGTCAGCTTCACTACTTCTTTGAATAATTGTGGAAGATCAAAATTCGTTTTACAACCGTTTGTGTAGATTAATCGTTTATTTTATGTGGTTTAATTTGAATGTAAGGAATTCCTGTAAAGTTCATTCGATTTTGTGGCCAATAAGCGAGACTATAATCAGTGTTTGGCCTTTCTGACTCGACAAAAAAGTAAGCGAAAAGTACACAAAGAGCGTACGATGACCTGTAATTAATATAAAAGCCTTTCAAAGTTAGCTTAAAACTATTTGACATTGAGAGAATATAAAAACTTACAAGAAAATTAAGACATGCCAAACAGCATGCAAATAAGTTACACTTAAAGACGTGTATAAATTGCAGAAGAGACGATCGTTGATCCAAATAAATATGGCACAGGCAAGCACAACAACTGTTCGAATTCCCAATTCATAAACCTTTGGGTCTTTGAACTTTATCCTTTCGAGTTCCTTATATAATAAATAGAACGTTGGCAAAGTTAAACTCATTAAAGCAAAAGCATTCACAATTGGCTTAAAGACAGATAAGATGCTTGCAGTAACACTGAATATCAGCATTGACACGGTAAAATGTTCACGCTTCTTAATAATTTGTGGAAGATATTTTCGTGGACAAAAGAATATCATTGTGCACGTGTACACCCAAATTATTGAAATTTCATCTAAAAAAAAGTTGAAAATAATTTATAAACAAATGAGAAATTGTCATTGTCATTTTTTATAATGACATGATATGTAGCAGCTGGTTTGAACTCTCACGCTGTTATAAATCGAAACAGCCCATTAATTAAAGTCAATTTGCATTTTTGAAATAAAGAAATAAATAAAAAATTACCCAAAAGTTGACCAATCAATGAAAGTGTTGCGTGAAAATATGTTGAAGCAGCTCCAACAATTATTAAAAGCATCCAAACAATGTGAATCCCAGGATGAACATATCTTCCGTAATCTTTAAATAGATGAATTAAAATCGGTGGCATCACAAAAAATAAAGCATTGCTAAGCTGAAATTGATCGCAATTAACTCGACTACATTAGATTGTTTTCAGTTGTAAGAGCTTACTGTGTTGTAATATTCAGCAATTTTCGGCGAGTACGAATAATTGGGTTCACACCAGTCTTAGATAAAAAAAAGAAATAGAAATAAAGAAGAAAAAATGTTCATTGCAGGTGTTAATGCGACAAAAATCGTGAAAATGTTGAGAAAAAATTCTTACCAACTGGTGAAGTGTTTCTTTCGAAAGAATTCGAGAATCCTAACGTAGCCATTGACATTTTTTAAACAACCATAAAACACTGTGAACACCAAAACTCGCGTAGCTAAATTTTATAACTAAGTCAGGAGAAATCGACAGCGAGAAAAAAAATTGTGGTAAAAACAGCTGACTGAGAGAATACAAGGGGTGGGAATGTTGAAATAATGTTTTGCAATCAACTTTATTTGAATTGAGAAATTCCGTTGAGAAAATTGACTCAATGATATTAAACAACTTTTTCTTTTCTTTCTCATCGATTTTATTTAATTTTTGTTCAAACAAAAATAATTAACTTCAATGATCATGGTAACAAAATGAGAGAAAAAAAGGATTTCGAAATATTACAGAAATGTTTTTATGATGATAATTGTTGATACCTATTTTCACATGTATTGTCAGCTGTTCATGTTGAGATTTTGCTACTCAGATAAGAAAAATAAAATATGCTTCTTAGATACAATGCTAACGACAATTGACACCTTAAATACTGAAAATATTGTCAATTAACATTCTTGATGATATATGCTTAAAAAATGTCTGCTTTAATGATGAGAAACCTTAATAAGCTATTTAATAATTCCTATCGATAAGTTTGACTGTTGTTCACGTTTCGAAAAAGTCTTTTATGTTGGTCATTGATGCAAACGTTCATGTAAGAGGCAGAGGTAATTAACTTAACTTTTAATATCAACTTGTTTCATTAAATCAAACATTTGCTATCATTTTCCTATTCATATTCGTATGTAAGTAAGCAATTACACAATGTTTCGTCGAGTTGTGACATATTTTCTAGGCGCTTCTTTTCCATTACTTTTATAGCTGTCATCTGATTGTTTTCTCTTTTGATTGTAATCGTAATAATGAAGTTTCTTGTCATTGTTTCTATGCTCAAAGTCATATGGACCTCCAGAAGGTTTCTTTCTAATAAAACCGTTTTCCTGTTTATTTCTTCGCTGATTTTCATCTCTCTCATTGTAAAGTGTCATCTCATTTCGAGGTCGTTTTGATACTGACATGTTTTCCATACTATTCCAAAAATCTTCATATTTATTTCCGTAAATATCTAAAGTAGGTTGAAAAGTGCATGGTGAACCAGATGATGTAGTTTGAGATGATTTACGCCATCCAAGTTCATATCGTCGCTTCACATTTTCATCGTCAAGTGCTTTACGTCGTTGTGATTTGCTACTTGAATTTTCACTCGAATCTTCACTCGATGTTCCAATTCCTAAATCTTTCTCATCATTTCCAAAAGCTTTAAAATTCGACGATGCAACAAATTGTTTGCTTGTATACATTCCATTAGGTGATGATGCCAATGTCAAATGTGGATGACTAATCGTGAAAGGATGTAACAATTTTCCATCTTTATCTTTGTATTGAAACATAATTTCATCAACCGATTGATCATCACCATCGGAACAAGAGTTTGGTCCGAATAGTGACAACATAACAGGAAGCAGAAATAATCCGTGCATAGCTCCAAAGAATATCACAAGGAAAACCATTTTGAAGAACACGAGAAAAATGTAACTTTCAGCAAGCAACAACGCAACGACACCTAAGATTGTGCTGACTGAACCTTGAACAATCGGTAGGCCTAATGAGTACAAGGCTTCCCGGACACGATCTTTCGGTAATTTACATTTTGACGACATATACACATAGCAAATGTGAGCGGTAAAGTCAATTGAAAATCCAATGCACATAATCAGGTTTATCATGGATATCGAGTCGAGATTAACATCCCAAAGCGACATGTAACCAACCACGCCGACCTCAATTGAAATAATACTGAATGTTATCCAAATAGAACACAGCACATTAGGAATGAAGATAAATGAAATGATCATCATAATGATAGCACCGATCACCATACATTGTACTGATGTCGGACGCACAAGTTCAAATTGATCGAAGAAAACAAAGTACGGATGAAAGATTGTGATATTAACTGGCGCGTTTTTGCATATTTCTCTTAAATCTTTAACCATCTGCTTCTCATGATTTGTGTCACTAATGTTAATAGCTTGAATGAGAAATCTTGATGCTTCAATTCTCGTCTCATTCTCATTAAATTTCACATCAAGTGAGAAGGAGTTACCCGGAAATAGCCAATACTGAAAGTAATAAATAATTAAATCGAGAGTCGTAAAACAGTTGTGAATGAATAATTCGTGCTTACCTCTTTGAGAGCATCAATAAATTCCTGTTCAGTGCTTATTGATATGTTAAGATATTCACTTCTCTCGACAAACGATAGAAAAGTTCTCAGCCATGATTCCGTGTAAATTGATGAAGTGACGTATGAAGTGTTTTCAAGTTGTTGCATTGCTTCTTCAATTTTCATTTGTGTTATTGGATCTGAGTAATTCAAATCCCCAGTAACAATGACTTGAATACGATAAGGGAATTCACGATAATAGTCATCCTCCAAGTCAAAGAACTTCACTGAATATGAATCCGATTTTGATAGTTTACGTCTTTCAAGACCTTCTTGAATTTGCGTAAGTCCATAGCAAGCACCACCGAGATATGCCGCGAATATTAAAATAATCATTGCCTTCACCCACGGTTTATTCACAAACTTTGCCACGTGATCTCTGAAGAACACCATCAACATGTGCTCTTTATTGTCAAGAGGATTGTCGGGATCATCACGATTGATGCCACCAGTTATGAACTTTCGATATATCCATGACCGATTTTCTAAATCAAAGAAGAAGGAAAAAAAAGTGAAATAAAATTAATCAATTGAATTAATAATTTTAAAGAAAACAATGATATGAAGTTTTGTTTATGTGAAGGTCGCTGTTACGTTGATTGGCTTAGAAATATTTGTAGATATGTAAACAATTTTACGTTGTTTATCGCTTTTGCGGCATTATAAATCTTATGACTGTCGTCGTCGTTAAAAATATCAAACACATGCTTATGACTAAATAATCAAAAGCGAATGCACAATAGAGTAGCAAAGTTGCAACAATAATTTGAATGTTTTTTTTCCAGATCAGCTTTCTAAAGGAAATTAGTTCGATGAAATGAAGGTCGCAAGGTAATTCAATACAAAATTCATTCATTCATTAATAGTGGACTACAAAATGGTTTTTTTTTCCTACAAAACTCGTTGATTAACGAAATAAAAAAGAGTGGAAAAGAAAATTCTTTGAGTCATAAAACAAGTCTGACAGTGAGAGGAAGCATTCAATTGAATCTGTTTAAATTAATTTAATTCTGAAACAATAACAGACATTTTGACACATTCATAGAATTTTCTACATCAATTTTTTTTTTCTTTCGAATTGATGTCTGGTAGGAATGCAAGAATGATGCGCCAAATTATTTCACAACTTAATTAATTATTAATTGCTAATACATTAACGAATTATTTTTGTTGAACAACAATCGAGACTTTAAGCAATTTTTATGCTGTTGAAGAGTTGAGTTATACAAGCATTTTGATTCGATGATTATGTCGTAGTCCATCGTAGTCGAAGCTTTTGTGATGCAATATATTGAAATCATTTAGTTCAATCTCGTATGGAATGGTAAAGAAATGTTTTAAAAAGAAATGGAAAATGTTTTTAAGTTAAAACTTTGTTGCAAGCAGCTTTATGTATAACTTTATGTTTGTTTCTTTCTTTCTTCATCGACTGTTAACTTTGTACATTTCACAATATTCGAATAAATACTTTTTAATTAAACGATTAAAGTGATGTGCTTGCGCATAATGAAAGTGTGAGATGTTAAGATTAATTTCAATTTTATTTCACATGTTCAAGGTAGAATATCTCGCATTAACATGTTGTTTATTTTATTTCGAAAGCAAATCAAATCGAGTCTAATAGAAGTCGAATGATGTGGTGAGAGTGACTCGAAAAACTTGAATTTCGTCTTTCCGATCTGTTTTCAATATCTGAGATTTTTTAAAAATTGATTTACGATTGCGCAAAAAAACTGTAGCATTAAAGTAATTAAGATTTGCCTACCTTTGATTGCAACGGAAACTGGTTTGACTTCACATCCAAAAATTCCGTGGAGATTGCGATGCTCGATGTAGCCGAAAACCGCCATACAACCGGCAAAGAACGTGACATGCCACATATAAGTGAAGGCAACTGCTAATGCGCTGTAAGTGCAAAAAATTCGGACAGATGGAAATGGACTAAATATGCCCATCCAGAAGGATATCATGTCTGTCAGTGATGTAATCGTGATACTGACAGCAGCTTCCGACATCATATGGCCCATTCGCTCAGGAACCGACAATTTCACAGACGTCCTTCGCCATGCCGCTAGCATTACAAATGTGTCGTCAATTCCAATGCCTGTAATAATATTATATAATTAAATTATTAAAGAACAAGGAAAATCGTGAAAATGCAACTCAAGTAGCTTTGCATCTCTCGTTGCACTTTACACCAATCAATTACAAATTTATGAATATTTATCAATTATTCGATTCGTACACGTGATGCATTAGTGTTCTCTATTTAATTCATACATAGATTCATATTAATTAATGAAAGCGAAACCTTTGTGTTGACCTCATCGAAACTAATTTAATATCTAACAAGTAGACACTTTGTAAGTTTATTTAAATGTTAGAGGCAAGGAAAAATCGAGTTATGAATCGAAATTAAGCTTCGTGAATCAATTTAAACTTCTTACTAAGAAAGCAAACATTATATGCAGTTAGAAAGCATAAATTTTCCTTTTTTCTCTGCATTCATTTAAATCTTGATAAAAATGCGAATTTCTTAACAGAAATGCATAAAATCAAACTAATTTTTTGCTATAAAATTCAAAGCAAATTTTATAAGCTTCCATTTAATGTGTTGGTGTGTTGTAAAATTTAACAAACATCAGGTTGAGTTTATTGATCGATCATTTGATTAATTGATTATTGTTTACAAACACATTTCATGTAATCTCTTCGTGATTTTCATCAATCCGCGAATTATTTTTATTTTCTTTCACATTTCAAATCGTCCACTGAACCTTTCAATGTTTCTTTTTAAAAATACAAACACACACAGAGAGATATTGTTGAAGAAGTCAACAGCATGATTATAAACTGACTCATATGCAAGTCACATACGATTACAAGACAATCAAGTTTTGATTGCGATATAATAAAAGTAATGCTTGTGATCGTGTGTCGGGGACGCAATTTAGAAAACATTGCGAAAATTTGCTCAAATCTTTTTCATGGAATGTCAAAAATGTTTATGTTTTCAAGATTCAACCTATTTTCAATTCATTTCTTTTAACAACAGCTTTCAACAGTTGTACAGTACAATTTATTTAGAGAGATTATTAAGGTGAGAAGTCAATAAAATTCCTGTAATATTAATTAAATAGCACGAACCCATCAGCTCGTAAAGCCACACAAATGTGCAATTTTAATGTTAACACAAATTAAGTCAAGGTTGAACTTGTTTCAAGAAATGAAATTGCTGTAAAAAAATATTTTCTTCAATTTCTATTTCACATCATAGTTGAGCTACTGTTGATATGAATTAATGCACCTAATTAAATAAAAAAAGATTAAAACATACGAAAGCGTTCGTTTTAATGATAATTTTTTAATAGAGATGTTATGCCGGATTCATTTGAATATTTCAAACTCGAAACAGTTCAGTCGTAATGAATATTTCAAATCGTCTTTTGAACGCATTTCATGTCAACAAATTTTCCTTGATCACTCGCGGTTTTGCTTTGACTTAGTGAGGTTGCACTTTAAAGCATAAACAACAATTTAAAGGTCGTTCGAGGTTTGTATAAGCATATACAATACTAACAGCATTAAAAATCGTCCTCAATTGGAAATATTTTACATAACACATAAGCGTAAACAAATTGAAAGATCTTCACATAACAAATAAGCGGTAAAAGCAACATTCAATTAATAAATTATGCGGATGCAACATTCGTTCTTCTCTGACGATGAACAGTTAATTGTTTGCTTAGTTATGTTTAACTTACCAATCATTAGAAACGGTGCAGCTAAGTTAATTCCTATAAATTCAACACCCAAATACATGGCAAGACCAAAGGCAGCTGAAGTAGCCATCACAGCGCTAATGTTCCCCAAAAGACCAAGCCAAGGCTTTGATCGCACAGTGTCGCCCATCATACATGTTATGACACTGTTGTTGTTGATGTTGAGAAAGAAGTCACAAAAAAACATCTCAATTAAACTGTAAAGTAAAGCAAATTAGAAAGGAAAATTACCTGAAGATTGCCATTAAAATAAATGTTGAACTGAAGTAAGGAATGACAGTGCGCGTATTTTTTTCCAGTTCATGATCAAGTGTTCGTGAAGCAAATCTTGCTATAGCAATATGTTTGAAAAATCCAGTTTCTTCATAGTGTCCTACTGTATCTAAAAACTGATCCTCCCAAGCAGCACCTCTGATTACCAGACAAACAATTTCAATTAATAATTAATAGAAATGAGAAGAAGAAGTTGAAACTTACTTTGCATCTTGTCGTTTCGTGTCTACAGTTAAAAAATAAACCAAATGGAGTGATGGCACGCTTACAATAAACGAAGCATCATCTGACACTTTAGTGCCGCCGAAGAAAACGGGAAATGCGTGAGCTGTGAAAATATTAAGTTTCGTGACATCGTAATTTGTTTGATTTAACAGCACTTACCATCCCAACTGACGGGATTCCACATTATTGGCCATGACAATGACAAATTTCCACTTTCCACCTGAGAAGATTATTTTATGTTGTAAACATTGAATTTTTTATGTTTTATGTTTAAGTGTTTATGTGTAATTACCTCGGGCAGCACATAATCTAAATTCAAAATATCATTTTTGTAACATTCGTCTTCCCATCGTGCACAAACATCGCGATATGAAAATACGTCGCCATCAAATTCAACTGTTGTGTTTTGTATAATGTCATCAAGCACTCTTAACTCTTTCCACACAGCAGTTCGAAGCAAATTTTCGTCGCCATCTTTTGATACAATGATAACCCGACCAAATCTTCCTACAATAAATAATCATGGAGAAATTTACATAAATTTTGTCTTCGCTGTTTTTTTTTTCGTTTTTGTTTTCTGGGTGACTGACTAACGGTTCAATGTAAATGTTTATTTTCAAAATCATTTCTGAATATAACACACGACAGAAAAAAATGTCTTTATGATGTCCCATATTGGAAGTATGTAGAAAAGAAGAATTCAAAAAGAAATTCGCCACTTTCAGACACTCAGACCTTGAAAAGTAAAAATTCTTTGAGAAACTTTTCGATAACTTCACTTGTTTAAATGAATGAATAAATATCCATTGACACGTTTTATCTTGCGTAAAATAAATGTGAAACCAAATTCATTTTTTTGAGAAGAAAACATGTAAGTGAGTAAGCAAAACATGTTCGAATAAGTTAAAAATTAGAAAGTTCATGAAGTGCCTTTATTTCATGTTCATTTTCACCATAAATAATAAATTCTTCATTTCAATATTTTTTCTTTGGTTTTAGCTTCTTCACAATCAGCTGTTTTGTGTTTTTCTTTGACATGTTTTGGCATTCGAAACATTGGAGAGCTAAAACAAAACTTTGAAGTTTGAGATCGTTAATGTTATTAACAAGAGATTTTGTTTCTTTTGAATCTTTTCGATTGCTTTGGAAGAAATCATTACAAAATCTCTCTGAACACTATACATAGATAATGACCGGGAGACATAAATTTAGGTAATAATGGGAAGAAAGCTGTGGTAATCAGTAACGATGACGCATATTCTGTCACTCAAAAAAGAAAACAAGTTCCTACTAAAATTGTTTTCGCTTTGTTGAGTGTTTTTGACGTTGTTGTATGCAATGCTGACTTATTAATTAAGATTTCAAGCTTTCAAACCTTTTTTTCTCTTCCAACTGATCAATGAAATTTGCTTTTTGTTTTCTTCTTTCTCACCTTTTTCGATTGTGTAAATTAATTTTTCGCTTACGAAGAGATTTAACATTCGCAGATGATGCTTTCTTTGGATTTATGGACAGTGATTTGTTTTAATTGCGTAACAAATTTTCGGAAAAGAAAAGAAGAAAACCAAACAATCTGCACGATAATTACATCATACCAACGTTTAATTAATTGCAGCTACTTTCAGTTATGATTGATTACAATTGATGTTTCATTGACAACTTCTTGAAAGTTGCTTATTGCTCTAATAACACGTTTAATATCTTGTCTTGCACAAAAAATCTGTGGCCAATACGTTCGATGAACTTTCTATCCATTCATAACAAAATTGAAGTAAAACAACAAAAAAAATGAAAAGTTCAAGTGTTTGCAAATTCATATACTGCGTTGAACAATTATCTACATATATGGACACTAATTACGCCAAACAATGAGCAAATCTATGAAACGTTAAAATACTTAATATTTTTTGCTTTTACGAGCATAATAAATGTTTCAAAAACTTTTCGTAAGTTATTCTACATCGTGTTTCTCAATGATAAGCTAATAAGCGTTTTTTAAAAAAAAACTTATAATTAGTAACCAGAAACGATTAATAATTGAATCACTGATACCTTACCTGGCCTAGTTATTCTTCCAACGTTGAATCGATGAGTGTAATTGACTTTGAAGTATGTTTCCACTATCCTACGTTCTAATTTTCCTTCACCACTTATTGGCGAAAATAAATATTCTGGATCTATTTCATATTTAATTTGTTGATATCTGAAACATTTGATTATTTTGATTATGTTGATGAGATTTTTCATTTCTTTCATTTCAAATTTACCCGGTCATACATAGCAGTGCTAAGAGAACTGGCACAATGAGAAAATATCCCGGATTCTTTGCTATAAATGTTCCTAACTTAAAAAACGATTTATTAAGCGTGTTATCCACCCAAGAAACGCCACACGTCATCTGTAACAAGTAAAATAATATTCACAAATAATACTTCATGTTGAAAACTATTTTAAAATGATTTCATTAAATGATAATAAGATTAACTTGAACCGGCAAATTTATTCTGCTCTAGAAATGTCGTTTATTTACAAGAACAACAAGCAACCTGTTGATGTAAAATAATAGTTTCGGAAATGTGGAAATACGCAATCTAGAGTACTTTAAAATAACATTTATTTACTAAACAGCAGCAGTAGCACGTCGTTTTGAATTGCACATAAATATCTTTTTTATTTTCATAGTTTCTTTACTTGATTACCGCTTCAATGGTTGATTTTTATTGCATAAGAGCCCCTAGTTGACCATGCGATAGTGCAAATGTATTTAAAAATCAAATCTTTATTTCTAACTAGGTATTTGAATCAAATTTAAAAAAAAAAAAAACAAGCTTGAAAATTTTAATGCTAGTTAGGCTTCATTGGAGCTAAAAGCTAACAAATTGAAATATTTATCTGAGATTTAATTACCATGCAAGTCAATATTTTTATGAATTTACAATTTTAAAACAAGCAGCAACTATTTTTATTTTTTGTTGTTTATTCGTTCGTAGAATTCACTTGAGTAGATATGTGAACCTTCATTCTAGTTATGGCGATGAGATATCCTTCTACATATCAACACATGTGTAACATTTTAAAAAAAGTTTCGTTGCAGGTAAAAAAATCATCCCTTCAAACAGCAGGTGCGATAAAAAAACTGGTTTGGTTTTCAATTGGAGAGTTGTAAGAGTGATTCTTAAGGTTGTCATGTTTTCTTTTCTCTATCTTTGCATCCAAGTTGGACCACATTCTTACTTTGTTGTTATGCTAGGGCTCAACTTTTAAGTTGTCAGCTTAGTTCAATGTCAAACAACGCAACAGCGCACTGTTCTTGTACTCGTTTTCATATATCGTTTAAATAATTAACTAACATTTAAAAAAAATTCTTTGAACGAATTGTAACTCTTAAAAGTCGATTTCTAAACTCATTGCAAACAAAACTTATTAATGTGAGTCGTCGAGTCGTCA